TTTAAACAATTGCTCCAGTCTAATGAATCCCCTTTAGCCTCTCTAGTAGAGAGTCTCTAATTCTCCCTTCAGGGGGAGTCATTAGAGTGGACTTATTGTTTAAACCGTAAAATTTAATTATTCCCCCTGTAGTTCACATAGATTTCAACACTCCAAAAAAAACTCAACCGTTGACTGTAATTGATTCTCAAGTTTTTATGAGACTCACTTTCATGGTTAAACCGACTGAATATCTAGATAGAGAGAAAATTTATGGTTCATTTAATTTTTCGATTTTTATTGATAGATTGGATGAACCATAAATTTAGGAACAAAGATGAAGATGAAGGTGAAGATGAAGGTAGCTTGGATTCCGATATCGACGATCAAGGAAGCGTCTGTGACGAAGTCTCAATTTTTGATCACCCCATATTCACGATGATCCAGTTTATTCATCTGCTGTGGCACCTAAATCAACTATATATGCTATAATCATCATCTTTATTCAATTGTTGTAACAATTACATTCAATCAATTAGAACCTTTTAGTTATCAAATCCGATAACAAAGGTTAACAATTGATAGTTCATCGAGTTTCATCATGAAGTTTCGAAACCAGAAAACAGAGCAGAATCAGAGCATCTTTTGAATTCTAAATTAGCTCTGATTTAGTTCTTAATTTAAGTGTCTTTTAGATCTATTACTGCTTCTTAAACAATGTTGAGAGATGAAGTTTAAAATAATTTTACCAGCCAAGATTAAAATTAAAACTGGACAATTTATTGTTAACCTTTGACATCTGATTTGATAACTAAAAAAGTAACTCAGTAAAGTTTTGATTTGCGATTATTTTATGGCTTGGCCATATTAGTGCGAAAGCTTACTCGTACGACATTAGCCAAAGTAATTTTAATCATCGACAAAGCGACAATATGTGAAAAAGAAAAATCGAAATAATGGACGTAACACGTAATAAAGTTAAGAAAAGTTTATTATAGCCGGACTAATAATAAAGACGAACTTTTCGAGCGGCGAAAAGTGGACGGCGACCTGCGAGCCCATATGGGAACGATTGGATCTGGTAGGTATTCAAAATACTATTGCAGAAAAGTATGTGACAGAAAAAATGGACAGTGTTCTGTCAAGGGCAAAAGCCACCATGTTTTAAACCACATTCGAGTTCAGTTAGGATTTAGTTTTGTTTGCCTTCATTGTGATGCATACAAAAGTGACAGGTCTAAATGTTTTAAGAGAAATTTTATTTCTTACCACTGGAAAAGATAGCTTGCCACTTTGCTTCACAAGATAGTTCCAAGTTATCACCAGCATATAGTGTAAGTTGGCGGAGTAATGCATGGCGCTAATGTAAAGACACAACTAGTAAAGAGTTAAACTAGATAATCAAACTGACAAGAAATGTTTAATTGGAACCACAATGACCCATAAGAATATTTTAAGCACAAAAATATTGTCGTAGGACCGATCATGTATCCCTTGTTAGATAATGTGAAATTTGATGATTTAAACGGAAAAAATTTCATTAATGTGAGTTTAGCATACAGTCGTTTTCCAAATTAACGAATTACAATTCAGTGTTTTAGTGTAAATACTGGTCAACGGGCTCCGAGCCATTGATTTGAATTATCAGGTTTCTTTCCAATTAATCCCTTTCTTTTCAAAGCTTTGATCAGGTAAGAAATTTGTTTTTTAGGGACATCTAAGATATGGGCAGCCTAATTAGATAAAACAGATTAGTTATTATATGTAAGTAAAGGATTTGTGGATATTTTGTTATGATCAGTGATTACCGTCAAAATTTTAGACAAGAATAATTCCCCTTTACATCCCCAACACTCTATATGTATGATAAAATAGCGCACCAATTTTTCATCTGCAGAACCATCTTAAACGAATTGTAAAAGAAGTACAAATCTTTTCAGAAGTTCCCATCTTTCTTCACATAAATAACATGAACCAGGCATCTTTTTGAAGCTTGCGATGTCCAAATCTGAAAATTAAACCCAAAATAAGTAAAACAATTATTTGCTTGTGTCAAAATTTCAACATACCTCGTAACTTTTCTGTGTTAATAACTTCAACATAAAAAAATTACGTAAAAGTTTCGATCTGAAGACAGAGGCTGGGCTCTTACACGTGTTTTATATTTCACACTTTTTTCCACCAATGGCATTAAATTGAACTATGAATCTGTGATCTTATTAAATAAATTAAATTTTATGTACTCTCAAACAATCTTTTTCGAAGTTTATTGCTTAGTGATTAAACCACCTCCAATGGTGGTTAAGTCAACCGATGCGGTGGTAAACCGATGAAGTAAAAGGGGCAAATTAAAAATTCATCGCCACCAGTTTACTGTTGAGAAATCATACATTATTTCAAAGCAATCAATCAAAAGGACCATATTCGTTACCGGATTTGGGAACAAATGTGACCTATTGATTGAGTGATATATTTGATAAAAAAACTATAAAATAACACAAAAGTAATTAAACAGAATTGATTAATTATTTTGTGTAAAACCAATTTGGCGCCACAGTGAACCAGCTGTAAAGAGTTGGCGACACCTATATCAGATAATATTTTCTCCATCAATCGTAGTTTTGAAATCAACAATTTTTTTGAAAAAAGTGCTTTTTAAAGTGGAAATGACCATATTAAATACTTCAATGCAGATCTGTTGGAGGATGAACCAAGAAATACAAAATTTGATTATATTAACTTAATTTCCTAAGTTCAAAAAGTTAAACATACCTCATATAAGTCAACAGCGCCAGATTGTTGAAAAATCAAAGTTGAAAAACATTCAGTTTGGGTACTTTGAATTAAAACTATATATGGTATTTCGCACCATTTTTTCATTTTCCTCAAACGAATTTATATCTGGATGACTGGCCTCAGTTTCTTATTCACAATCAACCAAATTATAATTTTTCTGAACAACTTCTTCACTTTCATCATCATGCTCAACTTCAAAAGAATCATTAATATTTTCATTTAAAGACAAATCTATTGATTCATTTTGACAATTATCATTTTCGTTGGAGTATGACAATTCCATAGATTCATCTTGAGTGTCAACTGGCACTAATGCTAATGAACTTGTTGATGACTTGACTCATCTTCACAGGAAGAAACAACAACTTCAACAGGTATCCGTTGTTTCGACAGTTTCATCTACAGTTACTGGAACAAGCTAAAAAATTGAATTAGAAAGGGAAAATTTTACCTTTTATAAAATTTTTACCTCTTGCGCCCTTTGATTTGGAAGAGATATAATCCGAACATTTCTAGTATTTCTCTGTCTGTTTGATTCATTACGACTGACAAACTAAAAATTTAATAAAAATTAATTATTTCATGGAAATCACAATAAATTTCCCTTACCAATCTTAGAGGGTTAATGCCACTTTCAGCAAGCGATAGATCGCGAACCCAAATATTATAGGATACATAGGATTATTATCGTTAGATTGATCACTTGGTTTCCTAGTAATGGCAATCACAATTTTTTCTTGAAATATACATTAATCTATTAGAATATAAATTAACGTAATATAAATAATATATTGATTAAAGTATATACATGGGTCCTGGAACATAGTTAAGTCAAGTGCTTGGATAATATCGCAAACATTTTAACACGCTTTTCATACTCTTCTTTCCATTTCCTTTTGAGATATCTTTGTCTGGTTGGAGGTTCATCAATAAACTGAAATACATACAATGCCGGCTGAATACAAATGCATGTCTCTCCCAAACCGAGAAAGTATAAAATATACATATGCCAAAAATACATTCTGATATAATTCATATCAGAAAGATCTTCCATTGCATCAAATTTTTCTACTACGAAAGGCTGGATAGTTGACTGATAAATTTCTAATGTTGTTATCAATGGGCAATTGAAATGCTGACAAAAATAAAATAATTAGTTGTTAACTTGCTCGTGAGTAAGTGACATTGGATGAAAGCCAATTGAAGAAGCAAGTTGGTCAAATGTTTCAAGATCAACGATTGTAAACAGTTGGAGATCAGATGGATTTCAGTTGACAACAGATCATCAATAAAATACAACGCCATCTCTTTGATTTAGAGAAAAGCTTAACCCACCGCTTTATGCATTAACTAAGGTTTTACAGTAATACAATTTTGAATGGAGGCGCTAGAGGGGGCCAACACGAAATTCTATCAAGTTACAGTAAAACCTCCCAAAGGTTGTGAGAAATTGAACTCCCCCATCTAGAGGATTTGACGTTTAACCCGGCTTATGAGTGAGTTTTTAATAAATAAATCCAGAGTGCGATAGGGACTCCTCTAGATGGCTGGACCGCTCACAGCCTTTGGGAGTACAACTTTTAGTCTGGTGGTTAGAGGTTGTGACAAGACTGCTAACTCTCATATGTTGTGTCTGCATCTATCGGGTTAGCGTTCGTATATCGACAAGTCCTGGTACTCGGGCGTATACAGTAAAACTCCTTACCCAGGGTTCAGCCCCCTGACCTATCCCGACCCCCATCCTATGGATTCCCACCAAGCTGGATAAAGCCTAGCGCCTATGGGTCGGTAAAACACCTAGGTAGTAAGGGTAGACGGTGCCTTAGCAGCTGTCGCGGCCCCCGGTCCACCCAAAAGAAATACAACCTTTCAGAGCTTTTACTGTAAGGGTAACCCTACTGTAATGCATTTCACACTGGTGTATGATAATTACACTTTTTGGTCAGATGAATTAAAATCAAAAACTGATGTTTGCAAATAGTTGAATGTATTTATGGGTGAAGAATCAGTTCTGTAACTGATCTCTTATACAACAACTGTTTCTTTCGTCTGCGTTTCCCAATGCAATTTCTAGTTATCATTAATATCAATCTTAAATTAAGATTCTTAATGTCGATGTCGATGAAAACAAACTTTCTTTTCCTTAAGTACCGATTTGGTTGGATTTATCACCACTAGATGGAAACAGCTTCATATAATGTTTCATTTCAGGAAATATTTCCGATTGTTTTGTTAGCAATCAACAGTTAATTGTTATTATTTCAAAGTTGTTACAAAAAATTTTACATTCTCTGATTAAAAAAGTGTAACTTGAATCATTTTTGAAGGATTTTGCTGAGAGATTCGAAAGAAAATGGATCAATCTGATTAAATGCAGAATGATTAAGTCTACGTTCTATATATTTTCATCATTTTGGTCAATTTTACGTTTACATCTTTTGGATTCATCTGTATTTATGGCTGAATTGATTGATTAAAAGTGACAAGTAGAGTGACATTTTTCTCAAAGTCAATGTAGATGTACTCTTCATGGCAAACTGTCAATATTACGAGCCAAGATCAATCTTTGCAATGCTATAAGTTTAATCTTGTTTTATGGTTAACAATGAACTGTAGATGATTTTTTTGGACTACCTTTTCAATTGCTCAAGATGTTACAGAAGCCAACAAACAGCCAACCTTGCACAATAAACTAGCGGATTCAGTTAACTCTTCAAAGGTGTTAGTCAGACCTACTCAAGTTGAGATCTTTGTTGGTCCATTGGCGGGTAAAAAAATGCACTGTCGATCCTGGGACAACTAATGATGGTGATGATAATGATGATGAATATACAAAAGATGATAATACTTGTGTTGCTGCTTTGAATCAGAGTAGAGTGCAGTTACCGCCAAATGATTGTTTCTTATGCTTCAATGACCAAGGGTGAAATGAAAAAGGAAAGGAAAGGCATAAGAAGAAAGACAATAAATACTTTCTCTACAACACATGTTGATGTAACAAAAGTCAAGGTAAGTTGCAACTACAGATGTTGAGATTAATTTTTAATTACATTAAAGACAATATCTGAAAATCTGTTCCGAAAGGTACATCTTTAGCTATTCAATCTTTTTTTATGCTTCATGTTTTTACCTTCACAAGAGATGGAGACCTTTATAAATCAAATTGAAAATTAACCATTCGCTTTCTTTGACCATTTCTTAACCTTTCATTTAAGCTTTCTCATTAATCACCTTCTTTTGTTTTTTTGTGTCTTCCTCTTTATGCAGCTAACTCTTCATCCAAGTCTGGAAATTTGAATGGACCATGAAAAAGGACAGCAATTGAATAAACTGACTCAAATGGACTTACAGATGATAAAGTGATATCTTGCTCGTATTGCACTGATTCTGGAATCGTATTGATGAATGTATTTCTGGTTTAAATTGATGTTAAGCTTCAAGAACCAGTTGAATCAGGTCTTATCGTTATTCCTCTCCATGCTCTTTCAACATTCTTGCCCTTCTCTTACAATTATCATCATCATCAAAGCATCATCATCCCCCCATCATCATGATCATTTGATTTCTCCTCTTTTCTCAATGTAAACCAGTAGCCCGGGTTATAACCAGTCAACTCTTGTTAATGGTAATTGCAATTGATACTGATTTGCCTTAAGAATTTTATTCTTTCTTGTTTTTAATTTTGTCGTTTTGACGATTTACTGGTTAACTGGTGGGGAGAAGGTCAAAATTTAGGTCATGATCAGGTCAGATTCGTGTTATCTCATATCTTTAAGAAGGCGAAGTAGAGAGTGATAGATTGAACAATCTTGATTAATCTATTTATTGTCGTTCAATTGCCATTTTCCCTAGCCATATTCAAGTTATTCAAATGAAGCAACAGATTTATTCACTGGTTATAATGATAGTTTTATAATGAAATTAATCTTTAAAGTTAATTATTGGTTTTACATTTCATGCAGATTATCTAGATTGAGCTCCACTCTAATCAAAATCACATTGAATCAATGATAATGCCTATCCAATACATTTGGCGTTGATGATAATAATGAAGTGAAAACCCAAATCAGCTATTGACTCTTTTCAACAATCTAACCCTTGAACAAAATGTTGACAATTAAGTAGGGAGGTTTAGTGATGCTGAAGAAAGATTTAATATTAGTTTTTCATTTTGAAAATTGATTGAAGAGGTTCAACTATATTCTGAGCTAAATTCATTTATTTAGGACATTGAAGGGAAAAGGTTTAACCAGATTAAGATTGCTGTTGAAGGCCAAGTTTTGATTAACTCTTACAAAAAGTGCATTCACATAAATCGATTTAGATTAACGTTTCTGCTCAACTTTTACACAATTTAATGTAAATCAATCCCAATCAATAGCAATTCACAATCAGAGTTGATCACAATTTCAACTTGCGCAAAGCCTTAGCAAGTTTGAAATCGTAGCATCAAAGAGACTCTTCAAACCAGGTTTCAAAAGCCAAGAGTTACAAAAAAAACATAGCAAAATGAGCAAAAAGTGAATGAATAGAAACGACGATAATGATGATAATGGTAATGACAATGATGATGAGATGTGATGATTGCATTTCTGTGTCGCATTATTATGCATGTACAGATTACCTGTTTTTTACCTCAATGATTATTTCTTGAAAATGGTTCTTCCTGTAATTATGACTACCCTTACAAGTAAATTTGCTGCCTATCATTTTTATTATTAGTTTCCTTCCCCACTTCCATTTCTACCTTTCCATTCAACTTCGTCTCTCACTTTTCCTCTGGATTATTAACTGACTTTACTTGTTAAAACAGGAGCTCATAATTACAGGGTCCAACCATATTACCTAATTTTGTGACAATCAGCATGAAACAGTCTTTTAAAATCTCAACCTTTTCTAGTATTGTAGAGCCTTCTTTTTGTGGACAATTTTCCATTCATCTTTACCATCTTTCTTGTTGTCAGTCTTTTAATTTGCTTTTTTTTCTTCTTCTTCTTCCAGCCTCCTTCAATTAAGCCTCGGATCTTAACCATGTTTGGGTCAACGGTTTACGAGTTTTGGTCTGAAACCATTTTGACAACTTTGACTTTACCATTAGAGTTGTGCTGTTTACTTTGCTTCTCTGTCTTCCCTCACCATTACACTGCTTTATGTACTAGGTTTAGTTGACTTTCAACTTGTATGGATGGACGGTAAAAAAGCAGCCTTGCCTTAGGCTAACTTGAACGCTTGAGAAACTAATTTCAAGACCTGGATCAACACAAAAAAATAGGAAAAACAAAGTTAGCTACAGATTTTTGTTTCTCTCTCCTTTTTCATCTGTTGACTGACTCCTATTTGACAGATTTTAAGCGTCTCACCATTTTAACTTTATTTACCTGGTTTGTAGTCAAATTTTCAACTTTATCTTTCTTGTCCATTTTTCCTAGTTTCATTTGGTCATTAAATTTTACAAGTGAATGGCGTTTGATGAGGATTGTTACCAGAAGAGCGGAAAAACAAATTGCCAAAACCAGTGGCAGTCAAGATTCAAGGCAAAGAAGATGACTTTAAACCTGATGGGATACCAGTAGAGATGAACCTGTCAAATAATCACGTATACAATTCGCAAAACGTTTATCGCCAATTGATCATCACTTTCAACATTTCATTGATTACTCTTTGCCAAATGCATAATTAACCTTTTCGAGCTGAAAAAAATCACAGTTACCAACACACAATTTATGTATATATTTATGGCTAATTTATAAATATATATGTAATACGTGTGTAAATTCATTAGTCCTTGTTTCTGTTTTCACTGACCCAAGCAGAGAAGAGTCAGAAGGAGGAAAAAAACGAAACAGTGTGAGAAAATATATGTTAAAATGTTACAAATGATGATCAATGAAATTAATTAATCTACGTTTTTATAATGATTGGAGCTTTTGAAAGTCTCTCATTCTCCCTAGTCAGTCAATAATCATTATCCATCCCCATGAAACATCATTATCAACACCATCAACAAAAGCAACTGTGCAAGGTCGATTATTATGGACAATCGTTTTCATGATCCTTGAACTGTAAAAATGTTGCCTTTTTTGCTGGTAAACATGAAAATCATTTAGCCATCTTACCAACAAAAAATTAACATTTACTTATTTTTTTTCTTACCTTTTTGTTTGTTACCTTATCCATTTGTGCATAATACAGATAATACTTAGCAATTGGATCAAAACAAAGAGAGAAAGATATAAATTTCAAGAAATGGACTCAACCCGTTTCCAGGAGAGAAGGGCAAAAAAGCCATGATGATGATAATCATGAATAGTGACGGTCGTTCATTCAACTAATCCTTCTTTATTATTTGAAGAATGGTGGAAACAAGAAATATCCGCCCAGAATTTTCTTCTAAAGAAATTAATTCATGGTATTCATCCTGCTTCAAGGGTAATAATAGACGTACACAGAAAAATATGTCTACAGATATGAAGATGAGGAAGAGGCATGAGAGTTAAATTAATTTAATCATGTATATATCATGGTAATCTCAATTTGTTTGCCAGATTTTTTTGCATGCAAATAAGTTTCACCGCCATTTTAATCACCTTCACTTGTATCTTTAGCTTCAGGTTAATCTGTTTCTTTTTTCATTACATTTTTATTTGTAATGAAAAATGAATGAGATGAAATTATTACATCTATTACGATTGAGAAACATTTCATTTACTTGTTAAGGTCATCTCAGTTTGGGTTAAATTGTCTTGATTAAATGAAAAGATGTTTCTCAGTTTATGATATAATCTTTCTTGCTTTATTCACCATGAAATTGTTGCTTGATTGTTAACCTCTAAATTTGCCTTCACTTTTTAATTTTCCTTTTGTTTCTCTTCTGATAGAAATTGAAATTGACTCGAGGATAATTCAACACTACTGGCTATACCCAATTGTGGGTTGAAATTGATTTACCAAGGATTCTTGGGATTAAAACAAGCCAATAGATTCGGTATATTCCTGTTTCCAATAGATTCTGGTTTTACAATTTCTGGTCTTCCATTTACACAACTACAGTATGGAGCAAAAAAACTGTCACTTCTTCTTCTTTCACAAATCATGTTAAGGATTTGATACTCTTTGAAGTATCTTAATTTAATTTTTAGATCTTGATCATGGATCATTAAGGAGTATATACAGAGATTTTGGAGGGTAAATTAAGCATATTAGTTTAGATATTTAACCTAAAAATGGCTAATTTGAATAAAAATTGTGCAAAAAGATTGGAAGTTTCTTTTGTATTGAAAAATATAACTAATAATATTGAAAAATGTGCCAAATTGACGGATGTTAGTCCAAGAACTGTAATTCGAGTGAAAAAAAGGTTAATGAATGGTCAATCAATGGATAGAGTCAAAGGTTCAGGACGTAATACTAAATTAGATGTTACCGCTAGGCGGCGCCTTGGTCGAATTGCTCAACATAACCCAGTTTTATCGAACCAAATGATCGCGAATCGACTGAATTTTCTTGGTTCAGCTCAAGTGAGTAGATTTACTGTTGGTAGAGAGCTGAAAAAACTTGGAATTAAAAGATTTAAACCTAAATTCAAGCCCCTCCTTACCGATCGACACATTGCAAATCGAATTGCATTTTGTCAGGCAAACTCGAACCGAGATTGGACAAATGTTGTTTTTTCTGACGAGGCTTCATTTCAACTCAACTCAAATTCAATAAAATTGCTTGGCAGAACAGCTAAAACCATTCAACGACCGAAATTCAGTCCCAAAGTTATGGTTTGGGGAGCAATTTCACTCAGGGGACAATCACCAATTAAAATTTGTTTGAAATCAATAAATTCAGATGAATATATCAAAACAATGGAGGATTTCATGATTCCTACAATGTCAACATTTTATCCTGAAGGTTTCATATTCCAACAGGATAATGCTCCATGTCATGTCAGCTCAAAAACTTTGAAATTTTTCGATGAATCGAACATCGATGTTCTGACCTGGCCCGCTAATTCACCTGACCTCAACCCAATCGAGAATGTTTGGGGTTTAATGAAACAAAACCTTGCCAAAATGAAAATATCTTCAATTCAAGATTTGAAACAAAAAATTCAGGATTTATGGGACAATTTATCCCATGACTATCTCACTTCTTTGATAAATTCAATGGATGAACGAGTTAAATTATGTATTGAGGCTAAAGGTCGACATATTCCATATTAATTTTTTCATATTATTTAAGCTTAACAATTAAACTTTTGAATTCAAAATTTTCATTCATATTGATCGATTCTGAGAAAAATAATCTTCGTTTTTCTAAGTGACAGTTTTTTTGCTCGATACTGTACATGTTATGAATTATTTAAATTTTTACCCAGTTTTTGTCACTTTCGCCCCGCTTTAATTCAATTACTGTATTGTTCAACATTAATTGATAGCTTTTTGTCAGTCTTTTGGTGTGTTAATAAACACAATGAAATTTCTGTTGACTATTATCTCAGCGGAATCATTTTTCATTGCTTTCAGTGTCAACTGATTATTTTATATAAGCTGGTTAAACCTGAATTACTGCCGTTATATTTCAATCTATTAGAAATGTTAATTTACTATTTGTTAGGTTTTATTCATTTAAGTCAATAAGTCAATTGATTTTTAAATTCACCAAATTGTTTCAATCATTTTGGTCTATCATAACTTCACTCTACTTTAACCTTACATGTTGATGGTAAAGTGAAACTTGGCCTTTAAAAGTGACTGTTCCTGTTCAAATGGCAGGTGACTGTTTACACGATCAGGTTAACCAAACCCAATCGCTACTAAATCATTGATTAAATCATAATAATTTAATGGCACTATTATTTATTCACATTAAACGTTGGATTCTTCAGCTTGTTGTAAAGTAACTTGTCTCTGTTTTTTTTCCTTTGCATCAACAATCAAGCTAATTGTGAAAACGTCTTCACTTCCAGGTTGATTGTTTTTGTAAATTTTTTTTTTCTGTTAATTTGATGTTTGAAAAGTAAAATTAAACTTTCAATTGTATGCAATTAACATCATCTCTCTATCAAATTAGACAAGTCAGCTTTTTGTTGAGCTTTCACCAATTGTAAGATGTAAAAAATTGATTGAAACACACAACAAATGAAATTTCCTGTAAATATATCATAATTTAAACCTAATCAAACAGCAATTCAAATTGTAAACTTGATTGATTCAATCTGATGAAGTAAACAGTTTCAATTAATGATCATTTACAACATGAACAAAAGATTTAAATACAATGGTTAATGGTTGCGGGTTCAAAGGAGACTTTAAACGACGGTCATCGAAAGACATTGAATCAGACGAAAAGCACGTAAAATGGTTTAAATTTCAGGATTGAATCTTAATAATCTGAATTTACATAAGATTATTATTTGATTTAACTATTGACATTGAGCGGTTCATTTATGGTAAAGAACAACCTTCACTGCTATTTATTACAAAACAGGCACAAACAAAAAGGCATGATGATTGATAGATCCTGTGTATTCTGAGTAAATGTGTACAGTTTAAGCTGATTATTGTTAGCACAAAGCTTTAATGTGTCATTACAACAGTAAAAACACGAAAAATGCAGAACAAATTAAAATAATTAACTCATTAATTGAAGAAAAATAAAATTAAATGAGACATAAACACTAATGGAGGATAGACTAGAGGCGGCGGTAAAATCAACTTGTGGTTTGATATCAGTAAAAAAAGAGGAGAGTGAAATTATTTCACTCACAACTAATTGAAAATATGTTAAATTAATTCAACAGATTATTAATCCTATTTATACAGGGTTAAATGATAATCACCATGATGAAAGAGCAATTAGATCAGACGATTGAAATGTTGATAGCAGGCGATGGAAAATGTGGTTTAGGAAATTTACTGAAAAACAACAAACGGTGCAAGAGAAACAAAACATTCATGTTTTCTGGTAACTGGATGATGGACATTACACAAGCAGGGATGATAATTGGTTTATTAACATTTTAACCAAGATAAATCAGACGATTAGACGGTTTTTGGTAACAATTATCAAGGTTTCATTAACATGGCACTCATTGGACCATTGACAGAGAATACATAATCTCAATGATGGGAAACAGAAATGCAACCAGAATGAAGAATGGAAAACAGTAAAACAAAATGTTTGAAAAAAGTAGCTTTTATAATTATCATTGGTAATTAATCAATGGAGTTAGACACAGGAAAACCTAGATGATTAAGATGATGTTGATCAGTGAAACATCTGAAATCAAGGTGCAATTAAAATGGAAAGAAATGATATCTTCAAAGAGAGAGGAAAAGAAAGAGAAAATTTAGAGGGAAAGAAAGACAGAGAAAGCAAGGCAAAAGATAGAAATGGAGAGAAAGAGAGTTGTGTGAGCTTGAGCTCCCTGTTTGTTTGGTTGGCGCTTCATGTTCACTCTCTTTTGATGTGATCTTAGCATAGGAGTTGCCATCGTTTTAACTTTTTTTTTATTTTATTAGATTATTTGATTATGTTTCTAATTAAATTGATTTAAGTGAATATTTCCAAGGATTATCCTAATGAATCGACTTGTCGATTATTTCATCATTCTTGGATATGATGATCAAAAACAAGGTAAAAATATTGTTTCACTGCTTTCTCTCTTTATTTTCCTCTATTTCATTCTTGAGATTATTTTTTCATGTTATGGTTTGTTGTTATTTTTATTTGAGGCCTTGTTAATTTACTAGTCTATTGTTGGATATTTATAGCTATTCTGTTGATTATAATCTTAATTTGCTCAAATTTACCTACTTTTGGAAGATCTATGTCATTTTAACCAGATCATTGGATCCTGGTTTTCTGGTAGTATGCAGGTTTTTTAGTTCATGTATCTGGCTCTGTCTTTACTGTTTTAGATGGCTTTTGATTTAATTTTATTTAATGTGGTTGTTAATTCTATTTTTTAAATCCTCTTTCAGCTGGTACTCTTGGATCAGGAAAAGTACTTCAAAGGTTTCCAGAAAATGATTGGCCTGATGTACCTCTAATTGATGGATTAGAGTTGGTAAGTTAACTTTGGTTTTCTTAGAAAACGTCTTACTCATACATCTTGAATTGCATCATGCAAGATCAATAATTTTCCAAATTTTATCCTTTTCTTGTTTTAATTTTTTTTGTTATCTATTTTATTCTAGTTTTGCCAGCCTTTGGGATGGAGGTTGACAGCAACACAGCCAGAACCATCATATTTTGTTTCTGTTATGACTTATATGGATGCAAACAAGCATTACTGTGCCTTTTTATCTTTCTACGAGTCCATCTCTTTGCATTCTATCAAGCAACCTGACGAAGAAGACAGTGAAATTGATAATGTATTACTGGATCAGAGCAGTGGATCATTACAAGATTGCTCCAATAACCAATCCACCATGTTTGCTCCTAAATGTATAGTTCTTCAGTCAAGGCATAATTTTGTGGAAATTTTTAAGGTACATATCAACTTGAACCATTCTATTCAAGAAGCATAGGAAGTATTAAGTTCAATACTATTTTAGTATTATTATACTACATCACCACTGCTACTATGATATTAGCTCTAATTATGATTATTGTATGGAATTTAGATTGCTATTTGTTGTATTGCACTAGGTACTTTATCTTTTTCCTTCTCCTTGTCCTGTCTCTTGTCTTCCTAACTATTCCATTTTATCTCCTTTGCTTTCTTGACAATTTTACTTACTGGAGCTGCTGCTTCTGATAATTAATGGCCTTGATAATTTTATCAAACGTACTATTTAACTCGCTTTAATACTTTCTCAATTTCCATCTTTTTCCTTATATTCCTTTCTCAATAGAATTGCTTGGAAACTATTTACACAGTTCATCTAGAATGTATGGATATTCCATTGGAAAAATTAGTCGGCAATTTATTATGTATTGAGGTGCCCTCACCAGGTACTAATCTCAAATGATATTCCAAATTATTTAATATTCCCAAATTGGATTCTTGGCTAAATTATTCTATTTTCTTCATTTTCACAGGGTCCCAGTTGAAATTCTCAATAGGTGCCAATGATAGACAAGTACTCACTATGCCAATGAGTTCAACAGTGCCAGTGACCGGTACAACAGTGGTTCAACTTTTTGAGAGGCTTAATGTTCATAATGTAATAAGTCTGTTCACCGCAGTTATGACGGATAACAAAATTCTTTTTCAATCGGATAGTTACTCGCTGCTCTACGAATCTTGCCATGCATTGACATCACTCATGTACCCATTCGTGTATAGTCATGTGTACATTCCGCTTTTACCCTCATCTCTACTAGAAATGTTGAGTTCACCAACACCTTTCATAATGGGAGTGCATTCTAGCCTTCAAGATGAAGTCGAGGATCTTCTCGATGTGATAGTTGTTGATCTTGATGTTGGTTGTATCACAATACCAGATTGTATCCATTTACCCAAGCTTGATGGACCTGCATATAATGAAATGGTCTTTCATCTTCGATCTGTCATCACACCACAATTAATGAAAAAGGATGTTGCTTTGCGATCTAGTCATTCAAAACCCTCTCCACCTCATCTATTAGTAAGATCTAATTTTAATAATATTTCTACCAAAATTTGCGAATGATGATGATATATTTTGCTCCACTATTCTTGAGTTTATATCTCATTTTGATCAATAATCTTGTTAGTTTACATTATTTTGATCTAACACTTAATTGTTAATGATGAATGAAACTCATTATCATTCGCTGTTTTGTTTGTTTTCCGTACTTCAATTTTGTTTTTGTTTAAACTAATTTTTTGCATATCTCTTTCCTTCCTTCTCTCCTTCAGGATAAAGAGATTAGAGCTATATTTGTTAGACTTTTTGCTCAAATGTTGCAAGGCTACAGGACCTGTTTACAAATTGTTCGTATCAACCCGAAACCTTTCATAACTTTCCATAAGGTATGGTCATGGCTCAGGCCACACGCAATTCTAAAATGCTTAATACTACGCAATCAGGAAATGGAATTTTCTTTTAATTGACTTAATGAGATTTAAAATTTCTTGAGTTATAGCCAAAGAAAATAACGCAATACTCATCTATTTTTTACTCTTTATTTATTTATTTATTTTCTCATTTTTACTTTCACTATTTTCCAGGCCTCATTCCTTGGTAAAAGAAATCTTGTCGAGAACGAATTTGTTGTTCGACTATTAGAAAGTATGTTTTTCAATTCATTTGTACAAGAACGTGGAACACCATACAGAGCCAGTGATCTTTTCGATGAGGTTTGTAAAACTCAAGTATAAATTATTTAATAGAATCATCATTGTTACAATTTTGATTATTTTTTCTTTAATATGATAGCTTTATGCAACTATGCACGATACACTTAAACGAGAAATGGCTAACCCTGAATTGGTTATAAAAGACATTAAAGAATTGGCTCATCAATTATATCTTAATGTAAGTTTATCTTTAACCTTTGGAATGGGCATTCTTGCAAAGTTAATTGACTAGGAATGAAGTTACACGCAAAGTAAAAGTAGATAACTTATGAATAACTTGTTTATGCTGAAGTACAATAATTTGAAAAAAAACCTTTTTCCTTCTCAATTGAATTTCATAAGTCCATGAGATTCTCTTGAAATATTAATATGCCAAATGAATTATTTCTAAAATTTTTCTTTGAATTTTTAGGAGCAACCACATCCAAAGGATCCAAGTCAAATTAAATTACCATTACCTACGGAAGGAATTTTTACTCGTGTACATCAACCCAAGTTCCCTACTTTCAAAAGTGACATAATTCAAGAGATTTTAGATGACGACCGAATACGACGCGAAATGTTAACCATGAACAAACCGAAACCTACTAAAGCTGAAGCTAGGATAATTGCATTCGGTCCAACAATCTGTGTCCCTTTCAACTCGGATTCAGCTCTTTTTACAAATTCAGCTAGAAGACTAGAAGTTATGAGGACTTGTATTAATTGTATATTTGAAGAAAAGATTCAAGATGCTCGGAAATCCTTCCCCGCAGTTCTCCGAGCATTGAAAAACAAATCTGAAAGACTTGCCTTAGCTAAGGAACTAGCAGCTCATGTCTCTGGTAACAAATGTGTCTTAACTCATGAGCAATTCGACTTGATTGTACGTTTAATGAACTGTGCTTTGCAACAAGATTGTGATTATTTAGATGGTAGTGCCTCAGGTTTACGTTTACGAGGCCTTGGTGATGTCAACGGACTTGCAGCTGCGATATTACCATTAAGTATGAAATTTTGTCGCCGTCTAGGCCTAGGTGGTAATAACGGCGTCTTGCAATTTGCCTTTACGTGTCTGCAAGATCATCTGATTTGGGATAATATGAGTTTTTGGGAATCAACCTTTTATCACAATGTAGAGCAAGAGGTTACTTCATTATATGGTTCTATCAATGATTCACATTTAACACCTTTAGACATTGCTGCTGAACAAATTCGTTTGAAACCTAAACTAAGTGAAGAGCAAATACTTCAATATGCCTCTAGTGAAGAATCAACTGTGTACAGTCAAGCAGTTGATTATACTCATCAAATTGTTTCTCTAAAAATACCCTTGGATATTGGATTTCATGAGAAAAATACTCGTAATACAAAGTTAAATAATTCTGCTGTTGAAGGCGGACACCATAGTGATACAAATTCAAATTTTACTGGAACCGGTGGAGGAGCTGGTAGGGAAAGTTGTCGGGATGATAAAGACCATGAAAAGGATACTCGTGACTTCGACAATGAAAGTGGTTTCGAAGAGGGATCCAATGGAAAAGGTCAAGCGGCTGTTTCAGAAATCAGTGTAAATGTGATTAAATTTTTAGGTCGATTTGTTGATAAAGTTTGCACAGACGGTGGCGTAACAGAGGAACATATCAAATCACTCCATTCAATGATACCTGATATTGTAGCGATCCATTGTAACACCCTTGATGCAATTTACAAAGAGAGCAAAAATATTCCCCCTGTTACTAAACCTAAAATTATCACTCCTAGTTTATTACCCGGTGAAGATCTTGTGATGAAAAGCTTAAGAGCCTATCTCATACCTGATGGTCGAGATGAGGTTCTTGGATCAACTGTAAATGGTTCTAGTGTTACGCAAATTCCGCAACCCATTGGTGGACCCGTTTTACTTCCAGCTGAAGGAGCCATATTTCTCAGCAATTATAGAGTGATATTCAGGGGACGCCCTTGTGATCAATATGCTGCAGAAAATGTTATTGTTCGTAGTTTTCCCATTGCAACTTTAGTGAAAGAAAAGAAAGTCAATATATCTTCCAAATACCTGATTGAAACAATTGATCAATGTATTCAGGAAGGCTTACAATTGAGATCAAATATATTTGAATTAATGAAGATAGCTTTTGATGAAGAAGTTTCTTCTGAAGACATTGAAATGCTTAGGAAAATGATTAACAAGGCCAGGACACCACCAAATGTATTCCATATGTTTGCCTTTACCTCACAAATTGCAATGTCTCACCAGCTGAGTCTATTAAATCTGCAAAAACAAAAGGAAAAAAGCAACACTTTCAAAGGAATGGCAAAGAAAACCTTAATGAGAACTGCTCAAATGGCTGGCCTTAAAACGAAATCGCGAAAATCAAAATATCTCATGCCTGCTTCTGGTATTTATGGTTCAAAAACACTTACACCAGGTTTTAATCGTCAAACAACCATAATTGACGCAGTTGATGATAAATCTGTTAGTGATGATTTATCCATAAACAGTGACTCTTCCCATGTTCATACAACATCAACTCTTCCACCTTTATCAACTTCATCAGTCAGTAGTAGTGTTGATGTTCACCTTTCTCCTGTCAATCCCAAAGACTCCCGAACATTGAAAAAATTGACTGAATTAAGTTATGTCAAGGATTACCAAAGATTAGGTTTAGGATCTGCAAAGGATATCCTTCAACCCAATGGTTTTAGTAATTATTCAGGTATTACTTCACCAACTTCCTCTAAAAGTTTAAAAAACTCTGCCAACAATAGTATCAGCCATGATGGATTTAGGATAACCTCAGTCAACTCTTCATACACAGTTTCTGGATCTTATCCAGCATTCTTAGCTGTTCCAGCATCTGTTACTGACGACAGTTTACAAAGGCTAAGTCGATGTTATAAATATTGTCGTTTTCCCGTTATTGTTTGGAGGCATCCAGCTTCCAAAGGATTATTACTCAGAGCCAGTTCGTTCCACGGCAAAGGTGTTATCGGAATACTCAAAGGCCATGGGGCAACTAACTCCATGGCAGCCTCACACAATAGTTCAAACAGTTCAGTGCCATCATATCCAGAAACATCTTCTAATATTGAACAAGAAAAGTACTTCCAAGCAATTATTAACCTGACTCCTTCTCATAATGATTCAGAAAACTCACAAGGAATTGAAACAGATTACGGTATACCTTCCTTAGTACTCTCTGGTCGTCATGACTCAATCGCCTCAGCTGCCTCAGGCCGACAAACTCCTCCTTTCACCAAAGATCACAAAAAAAGTAATGTTATGGCTTCGTTTAATAGAGCCATGAATAATATTCGAGCCTCAGGTAGCAAGCCATCATTTGGTACTCTTGGACACTCAGTTGGCAAACAATGGTCCAAACTTCACTCATCAAACACCAAAAACAATCACGAATCAACCTCAAAGAATTATACTTCCGATGATATTTCAATAATGTCAGCCTCTGTCTCTTCTACCAATGCTGTTACCTCAATTCCACCAATCTCTCCGATTCACTCTCCAAATACTTCATCTGCCTCAAATGGCCGTAAAACCGGTGCTGAGCTTCACAACTCCAGCCTCTCAAACAACAGAAAATGTATCTATATTTTTGGAGAAAAAGGTCTTGTTAAATCTTCTCGATCTGATCATTTATCTAACATGATTGAATTTGTGCCTATTGAATATCATGAGGTTCGTCAAGTGAAGCAAAGCTTCCAAAAATTGTTGAAAGCTTGTTGTCCTTCCAGCTGTTTAACCGATCCAGAACAAAGTTTCATTCGTCAAGTTGAAAACAGTGAATGGCTAAATCAATTGCAGACTATTATGCGTATCTCCAGTGCAATCATTGATTTGATTGACTTACAGGGTTCAACAGTTATACTTTGTTTGGAAGATGATTTAGATTTAGTTCCACAAATCGTTTCTGTTGCTGAACTCTGTTTGGATCCTTATTATCGAACCTTTGAAGGATTCAGAGTTCTCATAGAGAAAGAATGGCTCGCATTCGGACATCGTTTCAGTCATCGATCAAATCATACTGCCCAAACTATCACTTCAGGCTTTGCGCCCATATTTCTTCAATTTTTAGACATAGTCCATCAAATAATGAGACAATTTCCGTTGTCTTTTCAATTCAATGAGTATTATTTGCGATTTATTGCCTATCATTATGTTTCTTGTCGATTTAGAACCTTCCTTTTGGATAGTGAAGCTGAAAGAGCCAAATATGGTTGGCCTTTGGAAGATGCAACTAGAAAATATTCTGATTATGCAGATGATGGTTATGAGTATGACATTAATGATGATGTTTTATCTGGTTCAACCAATGGAACACTAACTTCGCACACTGTTAACGGTTTAGACATCAAAAGTGCATCCTTTTGGGACTATGCAGAACGAATCTGGAGTAAAAGTCCAACTTTTTACAATTTTTATTACATTCCAACAAGTTATCTGTGTCCTGAATCCAGTTTATGTGTTCTCAGACCTTATTGTAGCATTAGTAACCTGAAAATATGGGATTATTATTTAACAGAGCAACTCAATCACGGGCCAAGCTACGATTTTGAAGTTGTTCAATCGGAGAAACAACGTCGAGAAGAAATTGAAGCAACAGAACAAAATAAGGATAAATCAAAGAGAACCATAATTAATGCTTCATATGACTGTGTTACTCATTTTCAACCAAATTGCTTTGAAGAAATGTTGGAAAAAGTGAAAAACATGGAAATGGAATTGGGAAAATCAAATGGACCTCAACAGAAATGGCATAATATCTGGGATCGTATGGAGATACCTGTTATGAATCAATCCAATTCGAGCAAAATCAACTCAAATGATCTGATCGGCCGACAAGGGTCTATAAAGAGTCAAATATTGGGACGTTATGCGAGAACCGTTCATCATAAAAAGAATACCATTGATCTAAAGAAATTATTCTCCAAGCGTCTCAAACAAAAGTCTAATCATCCTAAGTTAAATAATGACATCTATCTTCAATGAAAGCTCATTGTTTTTGTTTTCCTTCGTTAGTTTTTTCGCTGTTCAATAAGACATCTTTCTTTGCTCTTCTCATTTGACAATCTCATCACTATTATTGCTGCTTTAATCCTTCGCTCATCTCTGTTTTTCCTCTACCTTTTTAGATCTATCTTTTTCCATCTTCTCATGTTGATTTCATCCTTTTTCTCAACACCATCATTCTCATTTTATTGCCATCAAACTTTCTTCCCTACTCTTTATAAATATGTTTATGTATAAATATCATTGATCAAAGGAATTCGCGCATAAAAGAAATTATATTAAAAAGAAACAATTAAGTTAATTGTTAACAATTTAAACAAAAGCTAAATCGATTGTGTTTTGTTATCCCATTAAACGGTTTTACACAAAGTTGAGGTTAAATATTATCGCTCAGAAAGGCAACAAAATTACATATTATTAAACGAAGCTAATTAAAATAAAAAATTGATCGATTCTCATAAAATGATTACTCTCATTTTTTAGTCAAAAATGACTTTTGAACCATTATTTTTAATTGGAATACTTATTAGAAGACTTTTTAACCTAAATCCGGTTGAAGATATAAATTAATCAGATGATCCTTTCTAGAAGCAAATTTGATTCACTTAAAGTAATCAATCAGAAAAGTTTTGTTATATTTACCATTATCGACGTAATTTTCATTAGTGAAGATATTTTTTGCGGTTTCATAGAAAACATAAATTTAAGATGAAATTGGATTACAATGTATGACAATCAGTCAGTAAAAGGTAAATTAATCAGGACAATATGTCCATAAATCATCAACCAAGATCATTTAGGTTATCATTAAGAGCTGATCAAATCTAGAGATTAAAATGAAGATCAATTTGGCCGAAACAATATGAGCTTTTTAGGATTGTTACTGAAAAGACAACACAATTTTCACGTTTATTATGAATAAATTGACACAAATGGGCTAAAAACGGGTGAAAATCAATCTCATTCAAATTTAAACTTAGCAGGTTTATAGCAGCATAGAAACTGAGTCATTTGGTGTAATTGAAAATTTTCCCCGATAGATAGTTCCCAAGAAAATCGATGTTGAATTTGAAACTTCGATCGGCTTTTATTCAATTGTGAAAACAGATTTTTTCATTAAACTTATTTTAATGTTGTGACTTTTGATGAGCAACCCGAAAAAGCACTTATTTTAAGCTAAAAAATTTTCTGTTTTCGGTAAACAAATCGGTTCGATTTTAGGTTAAACAGCCTCATTCTGTGACCGAAAGAGTTAGAGAACTGAAGCTCATCATTCGTCGATAAAAGTTGTTGGTATAAATTAGCAAACCAACACTTTTTTCAATTTATCGACGATTATCTTGATTTCGGCCATTTCTCTAAAAAACTTTGAGTCACAATAATTCGAGAATGGTAACATTCACAATCAAAATTCTTCGGCTAATCAATAGCCTTTAGTATGAGCTCGAATACGATGAAATTTTATATCATTAAAGATTCTACAGTAAAAGTTATAGCATTTAGCACTTATGTTACCAGATTTTATGCTTCATTTATGGGTAAAATGGTTATTAAAACAAATCTTATGATGTTTTAGTCTACTTTGCAAATTTTCACACAAATGAAATGATTAAAAGATCATTAGACAGAAACTTTGACTTTCGATTGATATTTAAAGTATGTCATGTTTGCAGGAACAAAAACTGAGTCAATTGATGCCATAAGAAAGCTTCTCCGATCATCAGTTCTTGAAAGAATCGAGGTCAAATTTTAAACTTCGATAGCCTTTTGCTCAGTTATAGAAGCAAATTCATTCATAAAACTTATTAGGCTAATAAAGCTTTTGATGCGCAACCCGGAGATGGACTTATTTCGCGAAATAATATTCTATTTTTTTGTACAATAGATCAATTCGATTTTCGATGAAAACTGATCGCTATCAATTAACGTGAAAGTTAGAGATCTAAAACTTAAAATTCTTCGATAAAAGTTGTTGGTATACATCAGTGAACCAACACTTTGTTCAATTTTCCAACTATTCCTTTATTTGAGGCCATTGGCGTTAAAACTTTTAGTCTGAATATTTCGAGAATGGTTACCCTCACAATTACCATTCTTTGCCTAATCATTAGGCTTTAGTATTGGCTAAAATACGATGAAATTTTAGAGCATGAAAGACTCTACAGAAAAGGTTATAGCATTTATTACTTATGTTACCAGATTTTGTGCTTCATTTGTGGGTAAAATGGTTATTAAAACACAAATCTTATGATTTGTTAGTCAAATAAACTGTTTTGCAACCTTTTACATAAATGAAATGTTTAAAAGATCATTGATAGAAATTTTGACTTTCGAGTTGAGAGTTGAGGTATGCCGTGTTTTCAGGAACAAAACCTCAGTCGATTAATGCTATGAATTAACTTCTCCGTTCACTAGTTCTCGAGAAAATCGAGATTAAACTTTAAACTTCGATCGGCTTTTATTCAATTGTGGGAACAGATTTATGCATGAAACTTGTTTGCTTGATGTAACTGTTGATCAGAAATCCGAAAATGCACTTATTTTAAGCTAAAAAACTTTCGTCTTTTGTATAGCAGGTCAATTCGATTTTCGATTCAAACTGGCCGTTCTCAGTGAACACAAAAGTTAGAGAACTGAAACTCATTATTTAACAATAAATATTGTTTTCACACATCAGCGATTGAAATTTTTTTCAATTCATTGTTAGTTCTCTTCATTTTTGGACATTTGCCTTTCAACTTTAAGTCTCGATATTTCGAGAATGGTTACCCTCACAATTACCATTCTTTGCCTAATCATTAGGCTTTAGTATTTGCTAAATACGATGAAATTTTAGAGCATGAAAGATTCTACAGAAAAGGTTATAGCATTTATTACTTATGTTACCAGATTTTGTGCTTCATTTGTGGGTAAAATGGTTATTAAAACACAAATCTTATGATTTGTTAGTCAAATAAACTGTTTTGCAACTTTTTACATAAATGAAATGTTTAAAAGATCATTGACAGAAACTTCGACTTTCGAGTTGAGAGCTGAGATAAGATGTGTTTGTAGGAACAAAAACTGTGTCCATTAGTGCTATAAATGAACTTCTCCGATAACCAGTTCTCGAGAAAATCGAGATCAAAGTTTAAACTTCGACCGGCTTTTATTCAATTACGGAAACAGTTCTATGCATGAAATTTAATTGCCTGATGTAACTGTTGATCAGAAACCCGAAAATGCATTTATTTCAAGCTAAAAAACTTTCTGTCTTTGTATAATAGATCAATTCGATTTTCGATTCAAATCGACCTTTTGCAGTGAACACAAAAGTAAGAAGACTGAAACTCGTTATTTAACAATAAATATTGTTTTTACACATCTACAATTGCAAATTTTCTTCAATTCATTGTTAGTTCTCTTCATTTTTGGACATTGGCCTTTCGACTTTAAGTCTCGATATTTCGAGAATGGTAACAGTCACAACCACCATTCTTTCAACTAATCATTAGTTTTTCATCATGCCTTATAACAATATAAGGCTGGACACCAAAAGAAAATCTAAGATAATTATTTGATAATGAATATTGTTTTTATACATCATAAGTTTCACTTTACCTTTATAAATCAAGAACCCAATCTGACAGCATAAATGATAATATGCTATAGTTTTATTGTAGAATTATGAATCAGCTAGTATTATTGTAAAATAATAGCCCATGATGAAATCTAATGATTAGTTGAAGAATGGTGGTTGTAAATGTTACCATTCTCGAAATATCGAGACTTAAAGTCGAAAGGCCAATGTCCAAAAATGAAGAGAACTAACAATGAATAGCAAAAAATTTTCAATCGCTGATGTGTAAAAACAATATTCATCGATAAATAATAAGTTTCAGTCTTCTAAATTTTATGTTCACTGAGAACGGCCAATTTGAATCGAAAATCAAATTGATCTGTTATACAAAGACAGAAAGTTTTTCAGCTTAAAATAAGTGCATTTTCCTATTTCTGATCACCAGTTACATCAGGAAATTAAGTTTCATGCATAAATCTGTTCCCACAGTTGAATAAAAGCCGATCGAAGTTTAAACTTCGACCTCAATTTTCTCGAGAACTGATAATCGGAAAAGTTAATTCATAGCGTTAATCGACTGAGGTTTCGTTCCTACAAACACATCTTATCTCAACTCTCAACTCGAAAGTCAAAGTCTCTGTCAATGATCTTTCAAACATTTCATTTATGTAAAAAGTTGCAAAACAGTTTATTTGACTAACAAATCATAAGATTTGTGTTTTAATAACCATTTTACCCATAAATGAAGCATAAAATCTGGTAACATAACTAATAAATGCTATAACTTTTTCAGTGGAATCTTTGATGCTCTAAAATTTCATCGTATTTTAGTCCATAATAAAGCCTAATGATTAGGCAAAGAATGAAGATTGTGAGTGTTACCATTCTCGATATATTCAGACTAAAATTTTTAACGTCCGTGGCCTCAAATAAAGGAACAGTTGGAAAATTGAACAAAGTGTTGGTTCACTAATGTATACCAACAACTTTTAGCGACGAATAATAAGTTTTAGATCTCTAACTTTCATGTTCACTGAGAATGAACAGTTTGTATCGAAAATCGAATTGACCTGCTATTCAAAAGACGAAAGTTTTTTGGCGTAAGATAAGTGCATTTTAGGGTTGCTAATCGACAGTTACATCGTGCAATTAAGTTTCATGCATAAATCTGTTTCTACAATTGAATAAAAGCCGATCGAAGTTCAAACTTTGACCTCGATTTTCTCGAGAACTATTGAACGGAGAAGTTAATTCATAGCGTTAATCGACTGAGGTTTCGTTCCTGAAAACACGCCATAGCTCAACTCTCAACTCGAAAGTCAAAGTCTCTGTCAATGATCTTTTAAACATTTTATTTATGTAAAAAGTTACAAAGCTGACTAACACAACATAAGATTTGTGTTTTAATAACCATTTTACCCATAAAGAAAGCATTAAATCTCGTAAAATAAGTACTAAATGCTATAACTTTTTCTGTAGCATCTTTTATCCTCTGAAATTTATCTGCATTGCAGCCATTTATAAAACCAAATGATTAGTCGATGAATGGTGATTGTTAAGGCTATCGGTCTCGAAATATTGAGGCTAAAAGTTTTTAAAAAAATGGCCGAAATCAAGAGAACCGTTCGTTAATTGAAAAAAGTGTTGCTTTGCTTATTTATACCAATAAATTTTATAGACGAATGATGAGCTTCAGTTCTCTAACTTTTGTATAAACTGAGAAAGGCCAGTTTGAATAGAAAATCGAATTGACCTATTATACTATTATACAGAAGCAGAATTTTTTCTAGCCTAAAATAAGTGCATTTTCTGGTGGCTCATCAACAGTTACATCAGGCAAATGAGTTTTAGGAATGAATCTGCTTCCATAACTGAACAAAAGTCTATCGAAGTTTAACCTTTGACGTCGATTTTCTAGAAAAATATTGGTCGGAGAAGGTTTTTCATAGCATTGGTGGACTCAATTTTTGCTCCTGCAAACACAAAGTGTCTCAACTCCCAACTCTCAACTCTCAACTCAAAGTCAAAGTTTCTATCAATGATCTTTTAAACATTTCATTCATGTAAAAGTTTGCAAAGCAGACTTACAGATTCAATTTTGGTTCCGGGTTTAATTGTAATCTAAAGGCAGCTGCAATCATGAATGACTGCAAAATTCTGTTTAATGATTACTATGAATTAGATACAAATGCGTTGTTTAAAATTCTTGATGACCATCGTGCGAGAAAAGCTAAAAAAGAAAATAAAACTTGCAACTGAATAAAATACAATTAAAGTTTAAAAGCGATTTCATCAAGAATTGTCGATCAAAGAGATTTTTTGATTTCACAAATGGATTACGTTTTTAAGTTACTAAAAACTCAATTCTTAACTCGAAAGTACAAGTTTTTGCACTTACTAACCACCCAACAATAAACAAAAACTCAATCAAACTTTACAATGATTTAAAATACGGATTATGCATTTGCCTTCCCTGTCTGAACGTGAATAGCCTAGGAAACAGTCTCGAGCAAGCTTTGCGTTTTTCGGGGATTTAGTCCAATTAGCTTTCATCTTGTTTCACGATTTTTGTAGAGTCATTCTAGTTTGATAACAATTTTGACGCAAAAATTTGATTGAAAGATTGAAGTATTATAAATATGAATTTGATGGAAGCAATTAAAATATGAAAACAAAAGCCTTTTAGTTTATTCAGACATGAAGTTCACTGGACTTGATAAATCAACAGTTAGTAATTCATTTGTTCAATTGATGGCTATTATAATTGATTGGTGAAAATGAGTGTTAACTAAACACATACCATTGTGACAATGAATGCTATTCATTATGGATTGAGATGGAAACAGAAGACCTAAAATGGACAAGGTTAATGTTTTTATAAAAAGAAGTGAGGTCCATTCAGAATAATCATGTTGATTATCGTTGTAAGAATGAAGTGATTAGATATTTGAAATACCAATGTTAACAACAATAATAAACAACAACAATCAACATGGAATGAACACTGAACAAAGGTAAGGCTTCTGTTATTAAGTTCATCTTGTAAGGCATCTCATAGGAATCTTTAGCTGTTCCTAGATGATTAGAAATGGCTTCTTATACTTTAGCTTTTTTACCACTGATTGTAACTGCTCTAAAATTAGGCCATTGATGATTCAAATGTTTAAAGTAATTGCCATAAAAATGACATACTGAAGATGATTATTTTTCAGCTTCTTCATATCAAATTTTGTGAGAGGAACAATTCTAATTCCTCTTATATTTCCTTTTGGTTTAGATATTATTGAATTGTCGTTCTTGCATTGATTAGTAAATAAGATTGTGGCTAAGAATTATGAGATTTAACAGCAAAGTAATAATACTAATCATCAAAGCAATCTCATTGCCCTCAAAGAGTTCATTTTTAAAATTTCTTTCAAAATTTCTGTCAAACGCCTGAAAAGATTCGCATTGACTTTTCCCGATATTTGGCCTCCTTACAGTCCTTCATGGGACTTATTTTATCCACGATTCATTTTTTATTTTGAATATCTCTGAAGACCTCTTTTGGATTGAAATAATAAATTGACTTCATAATAAAAGCATTAAAAAATCAACTGATCTTTCTAATAAGAGAGTTTCGCTAAATTTTAAAAAATACAGCAATTCAAAGAGGATATATTTTTAGTTTTCTTGTATTTTTATTTTTATAAATTGCCGTTTCTCAGATAAATTACATAGTTTGTTAATTGGGAATTGAATAGTTTTGTGGATTACAAACAACTTATTCGAATTCAATGTTTTGTTCAAGAATTTACAGAATAGTTTGATAATTAGTTTGGTTTCTATAGCAATTCCAAATTGGTTCAATCATTGGTGGATAGTCTAATGGTTTGTGGTATTGCAAAAGATTGAGTTTGTCAATGACTAGACATGAGGAATTCTTGAGCTTTTACAATTTCGAATCACAGATTTAATGATGGACTTGGATGTCGAATGGGCCAAATCCACGTGACGGTTTCTATGGACAGTTAAAGTCTGTTGAAATCAATTCTTGAATAGTTAGCACAGGACCAATTCAATTTGTTGTTGGAATGATTGATGAAAAACCAAACGAAAAATGTATATTTTTTTATCCTTGTAAAGTCTATGAAATGTTTTTTAATCAGCATTGCATCTGCATCATTGATGGCGAGTCCAATCCTTTCCTTTCAGTTGACCATTCAGATTGAAATTTTTCAAATCAGCCAACAATAGACCAAAATTTTGACTGTTTGCATTCCTATTATTTTTATTCGTTCAGCTTAGTGGTACACAAAGATGTCATTCAAATGAAAACCTTTCTATTATTGCTTGACAATTGAACAGTCACTCCAATTCAAAGCGTTAATCAGTTGCTTTTGTTCAGGTTTTGCTGAATGAAAAAATAAAACCACAAGATTAGCTAAACCATGTCAATCAATGGCAGTCTTATGTTAATTTTCAGATGAACAGGAAACTTGATTGTCATCTAATCCACTTGATCCTTCATTTTATCATCATCTTCTTTATCTTTATCTTCCTTCTTTCGGATTATCTTAAAATTGTCATCCTCTCCAGTCTCGTGCTTTGACAATTTAATTTCATACTTGGCTTGTTGACTTTTTATCAATCAATTATCTGCAATGAAAGAGGTAAAAGATTAGTTTAAAGTGAGTAAGATTATCTAGTAAAATAGAAACTTCATTATTCAGAGTTTTCATTGATGAAACAATTGTTGGCAATCATCAAACAATTGTCAGAGTTTGTACACTTCATTCATCTTTATCTTACCAAACAAATGGATTGAACCCAAAAAACAAAAGAGCTTATCAACTGAAATTCATTTCATGTAAAAATTAAAATTTCAATAAACACCTTTATCAGCTTCTCGGTAATAAATGCAAAACGAGGAAGTGCCTAAAATCAAAGATTCAGGTTTACCTTAATCTGTCGTTCCTGGTTGTTCCTAGTCGTTGATGATTAACTCAAAACTGTAAAACTATATTTAAATAATTCCAACATACTTTTTAGGTGTAAACTAATCATATTAGGTTCTTGGAATGATAATTATCACATTAACTTTAAAATAAATGACGTTTTTATCAACATAAACTTGTTATTGTTTTGTTTTCATCCTCTTCAAGTTAACCTCTTGAACAATTTGAACTGGTTTACATTCAAAACAAATTGTTTAGACGGAGGAACCACAAAAAGTCAAGCCAATTAACATGATTAATTGATACATAATGATAGTAATGAGCCAGATGAAAGTTAATCAAAGTTGCAGACTAGCTTTAAAGTGGCATAAAATGTATCAACAATAAAATGGGTAAACAAGCAAATCAAATCAACATTAAAATTTCACTCGCTAATAATTGATAAGCTCATGGTTGATAAATACATCTCTTTACGCATTTCAATTTTACTTTCTCTTAACATTATTTCATCATGAATACATCCTCTTTATCGTCCAATAGATCATCATCTTCTTGATCACTTTTAGCATGAAAAAGGTTCACTGTTCCACGTTTATGATGAAGTCAACTGTTTTTAGGGTAAAAATTTGCTCTTTTGGTTTTTGCAACATTTTTTAAACATCTTAAGCTTTATTTTTAGGAATCTTGAGAAATTATCTTGTAAGAAATGTTCAGAAATGGTTCAGAAGATGAAGAAGAGGATGATGATGTTAAAGATGCAGACAAAGATGATGTACATGAAAGAGTAAATTAGTTAAGGTAAGAAGACGAAACAAGTTACGCTTGTTGATCAACAACAAAAGATGTTATTCACAGAAAAAAACAAAATGGTAACCATTTTAGGGTTTAATGTTTAATTTTCAATATAATTTTCTATTGACTTTACTTTTAACCGAAAAGATATTTAAATAAACTATCAGAATAATTCCAACGGCTGTAGGAATAATCAGGATAATCAAAAAGGTCTTGTTGTAAATGTCACCACTTGAAGCATAATAAAGTCACTTGAAGAAAAATAAATGGGATAAAATGTTGATTACTTACTTTACAATAGTAATTTAACTGTAGATTAAAGTTAATGTTAAATGTTTCAACATTTGATGTTTCGTTTGTTTCACAAGATTACATCGACAGTTGATTATTGACTAACTATTGAAATGTTCAGATTTCTCATGGGCTTGGAAAACTCAATCACCATTAACCTTTGAAGTTTGAATGTTAATGGTAAAGGTAAATCAATACTGGTTGTAACTTTCCTTGGACTATCACTTTAAATTAGAGTTGACATTAAAACCAAAAGCAAGATTAGTGTTATAACCAAGATAATCAAAGTGATATAAGGCAACAATTAAAAGATGGTCATGATGTGAAGAGTGTTGTTGATAAGAGTAAAGACAAAATGCAAGTGCGAAAAGACCATCAAAGGATTTATCACATTTGACAGTTTTACTGTTGATCTGACTTAATCACTTATCTATCTTTCCAACCAATCCAAATACAGTTGGTAACAAAACAATTGACTCAAAGGGTCAAATGATTCAAAAGGCTAAAATTGGTTAAAAGCAAGATTTCAGTTAACAGACAAAAACAGATAAAAGATATAAAATAGAGATAAGGTTAAAATTATCAGTTGAAAGCATCTAAACGGTTTAATTTGAAGCTTTTTTCAAGCTTTTGAATTTTTATTCTCCTTTAAATATTTAATGCAAGTTCATTTCCAATCATATTTCAGTTTCAAAGTTAGACATGATAAAGTGACAAAATAGACTAAAGCCATTTTTGGTAAGTTTAATAATCGACAAATGGAAATGCAGGTTACCAGTAAACAAATCAGGTTGAACTTGAATTTCACTTGTGAGTATAACTCAACTATGAAATGCTATTACTAAACAGTTTTACTGAATTGTATTACTGATTTGTATTACTTTATTGTATTGAAATGGTTTACATTTTGATGAAGACTGAACATAGATGCAGAGAGTGTAAATGATGAAAGTAGTTTTTGTGTATAGGGAAGATGAAGATGGATGGTGAGTGAGATGCGTAAGGCAATGGGATGATGATGAGGAATAGAAGAAGAAGAAAATAGAATGTTGAAAAGAATGTTGGAAGAAAGGCAGAAATGATACGGATGAGGTAAAAATGATGTTCATGATGAGAAAGAGAATGGAATAGAGCACAAAATAGAGATTTTACTTTTTACCTTCTCAAATTTAACAAGTGAAAAATATGACATTTTTGAATCAGCCGTTTATGCTTAAATAATAGATATCTTTTAACAGTAAATCAGTTGAACAAAAATAATGGATAAACCTTTAACCTGTTCAACTGTTAATCAACTAGGATAAATTTGTTATAATGTAACCATTTTGTTTCATGTATAAATATCACTTGATCAAGTATGTAAACTAATGGGAACAATGTCAACCTTCAATGTATTTCAATGTACCTTTTTTTAATCTTATAACCTTGTTGTCTAATTTTTACCTTTAGGCCTTGTTGCCTTGTTTTTTTGCTGCTGACAGTTTTTACTGGTTTTTACAATCAGTTAATTAACAGTGTTAACCTTAATTAGTTTAGTCAATACGCAACTCTGTCTGTGTTTTTTCCCAGTAATTTGTGCTTCTTTTAAAAAATGATGTCTCCATAAAATTGTTTCAACCATTAATCATCAACGGAAAAATGACTAATGTTTTCATTTAAGTGTCTCATTTGTCTTCTTCTTGGTCTCTTCTGACACCACTTTTTAACCTTCTCTTTGTTCAATCTGTTTTCACTTGTCAACATTATTGATAATTTACTCTGCCAATTGTTGCACTCATTTAAATTGTGATTAAATGTAGTTAATTGGCGATGAAAGGTCCAATTTGTGTCTACATGTTTGTTATTTATCAACGAAAATCAATCGACTGATGAAACAGCAAAACCATTGCTTCCAAGTCTTATCCTATGTTTGGCGTTTCCTTTGGTTCATCCGTTTCTTTCATCAAGTTACAGTTATTGTTACCTGATAAACACTAGTTATTATCATCACTATTAATACCAATTATAATATTAATACCAACTTCAAAAGTTAATCATTACTGTGCGATCAACTGAGATTATTGCTGTTTACCCTTTGACGTTTCTTTGTCCTGTTCAGTTGATATTTTTTGCTGTTATAAAGACAAAAGGCCTGACAAGATTGTGATAATATCATCCTAATGAATCTACTTTACCTGTTTCAATGTTACTTTATATCTCTACCTTGTTAAGAAACACAAAGTGATGGAAATAATTCGATTGTGAACATTAATCAATTTACCTTTTCTCACCTTTAAAGGGATAATCTGTAAAGGATTAAAGACACCTTTATTTAACTCCATTTCTCTTGCAATTCTTTTTGATATTTTTCTCTTGTTTTCACTTATCATCATCTTTTTTTACACCTAAATGAAGTCTACCATTGCTACTTATCGTCATTACTTTTCTCATATTGAAAATGATAAAGAGCCAAGCTATGATGAAAAAGGGACAAAGATTGGATGAAGAGTCTAACAAGATTGAATTAAAAAACGAAGAAATGATGAGAAAAGTTTCCAGGAATAACAAAGATAAAAGGTAAAAGGTAAATTGATACTTTGTTGATCTCTTTTATTTTGTTCACATCTTCATCTTGATCACCATCAACATTATCACCAACATCATCATCACCTTTCTCTTGTAGTTTATTTACAACAACGGAGAAACAAAGAGGATCTTAAAGTTACATTGTCTTCAAATTTATTTCAACTTTTCTCTCATTTTCACCTTCCATTGTTGATAACTAACCTGAGCCATTTGATATTTTGTTTCATTTTGATTTGCTATTTGGTTGCCTAATGATTGAGATGGTGACGATGAAAAAAAGGCAAATAATCATCATCTGAATTGAGTGTGAGAAAAGTGAGAAACTATAAACCTTGTCAATATTTTTATTTTAACTTTTACTGTTTATAAGTCAACAGAATTTGCCTTTTTTATATTGCTTATCGAACTATTTTGTTTTTGTTTTCATCCTCTCAATCATCATAATCATCATCAACCTAGGAAGATGAAAAAGAAAGAAAAGGTCTAATCTCTTTTTTTTCTTCTTATGGCTTCATCATAATCTTCCTTAAACATCCCTCTTTCAACCCTTACAATGTCGATCATCATTTTGTCCTCAATCTAACTTTACATCCATCATAATTGTTTCATCTTCAATGCTAATCATAATGCAAGTTAATTTAAACATTGATTCCAGTTAACTAACCATTTGTATTTTTGTCTCCATCAGCAGCTGTTTACCGTAATAGCAAGAGTAATGGCGACGATCAAGGAAATCAAAAGATGATGGTGAACACAACTTTTAATATGATTGCATCCAATCCATTGACCACTGATTGATAATCGACTAATCAATCAATAATCTAAATCCCTTTTTTTAATTTCAATGGAATCCATATCACTATTTATTTTATATCAAACTCATTGACCGCTGTTTCTAGTTCAACTGTCCACTCTACCTCTACAGTTTGGATATTCAGTGAAAGTGTTATGTGTTTGTGATCCAAGTGTTATTTAAATAACGTTATTACATTAATTAGTGTAAACTGTTTGTTTCATTGTTCCTACTGGATTGTTGATCGACTGTGTCAATTGTGAAATTATATTTCATCTTGTATTTTTGCTTAAAACTAATGCGCCTCTCAATATCTGCAATAATGAAGCAATTAATAGTTATTTTGGTGATTCTCTTGGCTTCATATGTTCATCTATTTCAAATTTACTGTATATCTATGGTATCCAATTCGGATCCTCCATGTTTCTTCAATGAACTTTGCTCCTGTTCTAAGCCCGTCAACGACCTGGGCCATGTTCAATGTGTCAACGTTCCATTATCAGTAATTCCCGAAGCAATTAACCAATCGTACGTCTACACTCTTTCCTTTCGATCAAATGGATTACGTTACATTGAACCTCGATCATTTTATGGAACTGGATTAAAAGGAATTGAAATCTCACACAATTTAATCAATCGCCTTGAAACTGATACCTTTGTAGGTCTTGAAACCTCAATACGTGAACTCAACCTAAGATCAAACCGATTAACCTCAGTTCCAGGTCAAGCATTAACTCGGCTGGTTCGCCTTCAAATTTTAAACCTTTCGGGTAACCATATTCGTGAAATCAATACAGATTCAGATTTTCCCGTCAACCTTAATGGATCTCTTAAAGTGCTTTTACTAGCGTCTAATGGACTAACTTCAATTGGTCAATATGCATTCCGTCATGTTCGCTCTCTAGAGACTCTTGATTTGTCCGGCAACAACATTCATTTCATCAACCAAGCAGCATTTGCAATTCAACCTTCAACTTATCCATCTCAGTCGTCTCACCATCAATCAGGCTCAGGCTATTCTAGATTTCGATCTCGTTCACAAAAAGAATCTCTTGTTGCTTTAAAATATCTAAATTTGGCTTATAACCGTTTAAACAAGATTCCCTTTGATTTGTTAACCAATCTAACCTTGTTAACAACTCTAAATTTGGCCTCCAATTTAATAACAACAACCTATGAACCAACAGTACCTCGTCGTCTTATATCATTGGATGTGCTTGATCTATCTGATAATCTTATTGAGATTTTGCCTGAATCAGCTTTCCGTAATTTCGATAAAATAAACATCACCCGATTATCTCGAAATCCCCTTTATCGTATTGAAAAAGGCGCCTTTTCCCATTCCGTTATGGTTCATCTTCACCTTGACCATTGTGAACTGGTTAACATTTCCCGAGAAGCCTGGGCTGGTTTAGAGACTCATCTAAGAACTCTCGATCTTTCGGATAACGCTCTTCGTGGAGATGCTCGGACTGGTTCATTGTTTGTCAATGATTCCTTTAACCGGCTTGAAGCATTGAAAATGTTCAACCTCAACGATAATGCTGAATCATATCGACTATCACCATTGAGCTTAATTCAATCCCAAGAATCTTTACAAACTTTGAATCTTGGAGGTTTACCCAGTTTTCAACGTCTTCCCTTCAGTCCAAACAAATATGCAATGCAATTTGTAAACATTCGAACCTTGACGCTGGCACGAACTCACATTGATAGAAGGTTAATTAGTCAAGATTTATTGGGATATGGTGGTTACAATTTAGAAGAACTAGATTTTTCTTCATCGTCAATTGAAGATATTTCCTGGGATGCATTCATGTTCTCACCATCTCTTAAGCTTCTCAATCTTTCATCAAATTACATTCGTCGTCTTGATACCCAAACATTTAGACCTTTGGGCCGTTCTCTTGAGGTTCTTGATCTTACCTCAGGTCTATCAACATCAACCCTTTCCTGTGATATATTTATCCATACACTGGAATCATTGAGGTCACTTTACCTTGCTGACAACGGTCTATCAGCACTTTCATCACCTCACTGTTTCTCTGGTTTAAGATCACTTAACCTGCTGTCTCTTGAATACAACAATTTATCTCGTCTTCCAGCCTCACTTTTTCATCCTCTCACCTCAATTGTTCACCTTTTACTATCCTTTAATCGTCTCACCATAATTGAATCGGAAACGTTTAAAATGATGGATAAATTAGTTTACCTTGATCTTTCCTACAATTCAATTACAACCCTTCGATCAGGTTCTTTCACCGAGTTAACTTTGATTACTGAAATCAACTTAGAAGGCAACAACATTGAAACAATTGAGAAAGATTCATTTGTTATTCTACCTCGCCTGGCTCGACTCAATTTATCCTTTAATCGTCTTAAGAAACTGTCTTTTGATTGTTTCGATCAAATTGGTGCAATGACAACCCTGACCCTTGATTTACACGGCAATTCAATAGATTTATCATCTACCTCAACAACATCACTTACGCCTGATAAAAGCTCCTTTTACCAGCGTTCACCTTACGAGCAACATCACCAACCGCCATATCATTACAATCAACGAACAACTGCTAACTCGGTTGAAATTGTCAACTTGATTGGTAACAACATCACCTCACTAAATTCATCTCACTTTGAATCGATTCGGAATACATTGACTCACCTACTCCTCGATAACAACAAATTAACTCGATTAGGTTGGGAAACTGTTTCAGGCTATCGGCGATTACAAAAGCTATCAATTCGTTCCAATGCTTTATCAACCATTGCTTCAGATGCATTCAAAGGTGAACCAAACCTACAAATAGTTGATCTCTCCTGGAACCGTTTAATTGAACTTCCATCCGAACTGTTTCATGATAATATTAACCTTCGGATTCTCCATCTAACAGGAAATGAGTTGACTTTGTTACCTGAAAATTTGCTTAATCCAACTGTACATCTTGAAAAGCTGGACATTTCCTACAACAGATTAACTCTTTTCCCTTCTAAAGCCTTAAAGCCAGTTTCGAGTTCACTTCGCAGTCTAATCTTAACTGGTAATCAACTTTGGTCTCTTCGTCGAGAAGATTTTGAAGGAATCTTGCCTCGTCTATTAAACCTTGATCTATCGGGAAACCATATTAAACAAATCCAGTCTTCATGTTTAACTCCTTTAACATCATTGATTTCATTAAATTTGGCTGATAATCCATTGAAATTGATTCGTGATAATCTATTGAAAACCCTTTCTGCAACCCTTGAAGAGTTGAACTTATCCAACACTCGTCTAACCGAGTTACCAGATTTAAGTTACATGGATTCACTAATCAGCCTAAATTTATCGGTCAACAAGCTTTCTGGTTTAACCTTTACCAATTATACATCACTAATCAACCTAGATTTATCGCAAAATGCATTCACTTCGATTCCAAATAATGTTTGGCATTTTCTTCCATCACTTCAATCGTTATCCATCTCATCCAATCCAATCTCATTTCTTCACAATGATTCATTTATTGGTTTAAAATCACTGGAATCACTTGAGATTGCAAATTTATCTCTCAATTACATTCAATACGGTGTTTTACGGCCACTGTCATCTCTTTCATCCATTAAATTATCAAACTATCCGTCCATCAAATCATTTACATTGGCCCGACTAATTGGACCTCTTGATAGCCTACAAAGGTTATCCATTGTTGTAGTTAATTCATCCTATTTACCTTCAAATTTAATCCGTTTACCAGGTTCATCCAATCATCCGATTCACCCTATTGACCTGACATCTTCCTTGCAATCAACAACATCATTATCATCATCACCATCGTCACCTTTCCCATCTATATTTTCATCATTTACCAATGCTAATCAATTACCCAAAAAATTGACCCAAGTGTCAATTGAAGGTTCATCTTTAATCAATTTGGATGATTCCATCTTATCAACACTCACATCAACCCGATTAACTTTAACAATTGGCTCAACCAATCTATCAACAATCCCTTTATCATTATTTAATTCCCTTGGACGAACCCGAACAATTTATCTTGATGTTCGCAATAATGCTCTTCAACGGATTGGAGACTTGCTTTTTACACCAACTGCTTTTTCAAAGGTAATCAACAGTTGAAGACAATTTAACCAATTGACCATTTCAATCATTTTCAAAAAAACATCAAAACATAATGTAAATCAAAGTTTCACTCCAAGTTCAGTATAGATTTGAAGCAATGAACAGATTGAAAAATAATCTAAACCTTTTTTTGCTTCAAGAGCCAAAAAAGTAATATCTATTGTAGTTATAATTTTGTTTAACCAACAAGAAAAATGTTCAACCATTGATAACAACAACAATACCATTCACTTGGTAACGTTTTACTATTACAATCAACATCAAAACACACACAATGTTGACACAAAATGAGTGAAATAATTTCCTATAAGATGAAATGAGAAGAAGGATGATGGAGAGATGAAGATGAATGTATAAAAATAAGTAACTGTTCATTGATATTGAACCTGTTTCTTTATTATTGAGATGATATTGTCTGGCTTTTTTACCTGAGTAACAACAGAAGAATGAACAGAAAAAAAGTGGCAAAAATAGATTGACTTAAAATCTTTTTTGGATTTTTGTATCTTCATGAATTCAACTTGGATTTACAGGAAAGATTAAGGATGCAATGAAAAGGATTTTAGGATTTTATATAAATATATATATTTTTTCTCATTTGTTAACAATCTGTTTCCCTCATTTTTGTATCACCATTATCATCAATATTTACAGCATCAGTGAATGAAACAATTTTGTCAGGAATACAAATGTTGACAAGCTTCTGAAAAAAAACTGTTTTATTTGATTGTCTGCTTTTAAAAATTTATACATTGCCAATGTTCACGTCTTTTTACCTGATTGTACAACTGTACAAATTGATTACTATTGATTTGTAAATTTTCAGTTCAATTTTATTTTCCATTGAATCATAAAATTGAAGCCAATTTTACTCGACTCAACGACTCCGATTGTGAAAATATCATTGGATTACTGTTATCATTTAATTTCCATTATTTTCTTAGAAATTTATTTAATTTTCAATTTATTTAATTTTCAATTTCAATCTTTCCAGATTTACAGATTCTCATGAAAATAAGCTCAAATGTCTTCAGAATCATCAGGTTATGTAATAGATCAAAGTCGAGTGACTAGTTGGTTTGAATGAGAGCTTTGGTTCGTTTTAACAATTTTCATGAAAATGTAGACTTGGTTGATATATTTTATTATTGTGAAAGGTTGAAACGAGACTTTGATTGTCCTGTGATTTGAGTTGATTTTATTCAACATTTAATTTCACTTTGAAGTCTCAAGTAGACATAATTGCTTATGCTAACAATTATCCAGACTAAAGTGAAATGTTATGTTACTTTGATTTAATTATTTTGATATATTGATGCAGCCTTTAGCAGTAAACCAAAATGTTTACACAAATGTTGATTAAATTTAAAATTTGTTGATATAAACAGCATTTACAAAACATGGTTGTAACATTTAGATGCTTGTCATAAATTATACACAATTATGTTTACCTTTGCAAAAATCTGAACCAGTTTTACGCAAAAACAATCGTTAATATCGCAAGACATTCATTTAAACATGGTTAACATCTAGACAAATGAATCCAAAGTATCCAGAACAACTAATCAAAGCAAAGCTTCAATCCTGCTAAGTCCAGCATTTTCACCAATTTTGAACATAAAAATTGGTGTATTTTCACAAATTGTTTACCAGAAAAAGCAATTTCTTGATATTATTTTGTTTACCAACAAAATTGAATCTCACTCTTTTGTGTGTATTATGTTTCCAAAGCTAACCAAATCAATTTACATGCAATTTAAATGAGACACTCAGAAAGGTCGTCACACAAGATGATATTTGATCTTTTCATGATGATGATGGTGATTATGTTGATGATGAAGAGTAGCCAAAAATAGAGCCAAATGAAAATAATATTTTGCTGTAAAGCAAAAACGATGATATGAAAATGGTTCAACATTTAACACACTCACCATGATGGATGTTAAACGGTCTTTGATTATAATAAGTACAACAAAAAGCCAAAAAAAATCAAGACATGAAGCTATCAGCTTTTCATGGAGACACATTCTTGGCATATTTGCTATTATTCAAATTGAAACCATTTAACCATCAAATATCATGATGGGATAGAAGAGGAAGAAGAAAAAAGTGTTCAAAAGGATTCTCATGTTGATAAGTAATGAAAAATAAATTATAATGATGATGATAATCATCGTCAGGATCATCATCATCAGGTTGAACATTCAACTTGAAAATATTTTTATCAATTGTTGTTGACTTTCAACATTTATCTGGACATTTAAATAAAACCTATGAGAATAGGTGAAAGAAACATTGTATTCAAATGTTGTATTTTGACAGTTAACTTGAACACTTAACCATTTTCAAGTTTCCATCACTTTCCATCCTCATCATCATCATAATCATCATTCCATTTGATATTGAGTTTCTAAATCTCTCAGGAATATATTATCAACTTAATAGTGATGAAGGAATGAAGGGAAGAAAAAAATTAGAATAAGCTTTGTTTATAGATTAATTCCTTTATTCCAAATGGTAATCGATCTTTTCTTCTTCCTTTCCTCTTCTTCTTCCCTCTCCTAATCTTCATCTTCATCCCATTTCAGTTTTACTTAACCTCTTATTCAATGTGATATTTTCATGATTAAACACCGATTGTTATTGACAGGTCAACTGATAAATAACAGTTTTAACGGACATTTTCTTTCCATTTCTTTCTTTTCCGTCCTTTTGCAAAATCTCTCCTAAACTGATCATGTTAATCAAATTGATAACAATAATTTCTGCCTGAAATCAACTGAGCTTATTTTGCAATATTGAGATGAAAAAAGTACGATTTCATTGACCGAAGAGTTCAATTACATGATCTTGTTTCAATCAAAGATTCAATCAAGTTTTAGGTTCGCTATTTAATCATGAAAAGATGAATCCAATGAGTTATGGAAACTCAGAAATCCAACAAGATTCGACTTTCCTTTCCAATGAGTTCAACATTTTTAACAAATGCTTCTCTATGGTGATCTTTTTACTTATATTCATCGTTTAAGCATCTTGATGTTGGGAACAAATTGTAAACGGTTTTTATGAAGTTATTGGTTGAATGAAAATCTAAATTATCATGATTCAGCTTCCCTTGAGTGTTTCAAATGACAGTTGAAGTGTTGACAGTTGAAAAGTTGAAACTGATTGATTAACTTTGCGTCAATCTGTTGAACCAATTTTGGTGTTTTTTAGTGTTTTTACTCGCAACTTAATTTCCAATGTATTTTTGCTTCCATTCAATTAGTATTGATCATTCATAGATTCCTTTTACTCCTTGTATTGATTCAGCATTTGAATCTGACAATCTGTGGAAACTGTTGACAAAAAAAGATCGCTTTGAAACTCTTTTTTTCCTTTCCTTCATTTAAATTGAAAATCAGTTGGAATGTATTTTATTGTAACCAAGTTGAATTAATTCAGTAAATTAAAATTGACCCAAAAATAAGTAAAAAAATAGCGAAAGTCTATCTCATTGTCAAACAGTTTATTGTCAATATTTACACCGCTATTAGCATTACAATTAAACTGCTTTTTTCAACTTTCGTTTACCATTTTAAAAGGTTCATCTTTCATTGGTACTCATCCAGTTGATATTAATTGTTAGACATTGTTCACTAATTGTAAATCCAACTGATCAGTGAACATTAAATGACGTTAAATTGGACAATCGTTTATCAATGAATAACAAGAAAAGTATGATTTGTCTTTGATCAGCATTATTTGCAGGCAAATGAAGTGAGGTAAGACAGTTGGTAAAGGATGACAATGATGATAAAATGGTAAAAGGATGAGAGACAAGAAAATCATTCAAGTGCAAAAGGCAAAAGTAAAAGGTTAAATGATGATGATTGTTCAATTGTCCAAATCAATCAGGTTATAATGTAACTAAATCAGCTTTTATCCTGTTCACAATTTGATCCAACATAGTCATGGATTGATGATGTTTTTACATCATTTGTTGATGTTATTATATTTCAAATGAAATCAATAATATCAAGCAAAGAAATTGTATATTGATGAGGAAAATTGATGAATTAGCAAGAAATGAGATCAAAATGCAATTAATTGATTGTTGACTGTGATTCAGGGTGAATCCGATCAAGAAAATTATTTAGATAAAAAGAGGGGAATGTGAATAAAAAAGATAAGAGTGAACAAAAGTGTGACGTTTTTACTACGTCACATTTTTAATTTTTCCGAACTCATATTTTTATTAAGATTGCTGTCTTGCGCTTTCATTGATTTAAAAACGTGGTTTAGTTGAAGCGAGTTTAAAATTGAATTGAATTAGCTTTTAATTTTTTTGATGGTTTTCTGATGGACCAAACACCCAGTCGAATCAGTGAAAATTCAGTATAAACTATTTTTCTTGAATTAGAAAAGACTGGCACTAAATAGAAATCAAAGAAAGCTTGGTAAATAGCTAAAAAGCTTAGCTATTTTCACGAAAAAGCTTGGTTTTTAGTTAAGATAAAAAAACTTTTTATCTAATCAAAAGATTTTATTTCAATAAAATTTTTATCTAAATAATTTTCTTGATCGGATTCACCCTCAATCAAAAGGATAAATCTGATTCCTTAAAGTTTCGCTTCTTTCATATTCAATTACTTTGTTAGCCACTTTAAAATCAATATTTGGTTAAATGAATTTACATTTATCAATATGAATATTCCCATGAGTTGAAGCTGAATTTTCACTCATAGATTTAAATCCTTTTATTCAACAAAAAATGAACGGAAAACAATTGAAAATATCATGTTAGTAAGGAAAATATTGAAACAAAAAAATGTTAAAATCTCAAGATTTCCTACTTTGACTTTTGAATAACTTGCTTTTGTTTTGTGCTTTGTTTTCAACTCTTGTAATTGTTTAACTTTTGATTTAATTGTTATTCATTTGATTCAGCAATCAAATGCAAGAAGGAAATTGTTGTTGATACTTGAATTAACATTGAACATTGAATGTTGGTTAGATCAAGATTGAGTAGTAGAAGAGGCTGAAGATTCTGAAAGATGCTGAAGATGTTGTTGAGGATGTGGATGATAACAATGATCATATTGAACCAGATGAAAAAATTCATAAATAAATATATTTATCTGAGGAAATCCGTTCGTTTTTTTCTCTGTACTTCTGTTATTGGATGTTTTTTTCACTCTATTTTACTGAACAGGTTATTTGTATTCATTGAGAGTTATTCATTTTGATTCCCCAATCAATTTGAACCAGGGAACAAAAATTTGTTTACTTGTCTATTTACTTGTAAATTTAAGGGAATGACAATCAACAACAATCAACACAGAAACATTCACATTCAGTAGACTCATTGTTAACTCTGTATTTTGTTTTTAATTTATTCAATGTTCAGTTGACATTACATTTGTTACTTTAAGTTTGTTGACTTTGCCATTCAATTTTCATTGCTCAATTCATTGCTCCGCTTATTGAATAGTTTAATGATAAAAATCAGGTTAATCTTTACAGGGTCAAAAGTGACTCCAATCACTATATAAATAATGATTTTATTATAAACATTTGTCTTGATTTTCATCAATGCTTCATATTAATGTTCAATTATTGTCCACTTTTGTCCATATTAAAGGCACAAACAGTCATCAATCAAAACACATTTTCAGATATTGCTTTCAAGAGTCAAATATTTCATCTATAAGATGCTTCTAATCACCTCCAAAATCATCATCATTATCATTTACATTTATTCATATTCATTTAATTGTTCAATTTTACCTTCATGGAACTTTTCCCAACTTTTTTAATCTCTTTCAGTTTTCCTTTGCGATTCAATGATCGAAACTCACCATTTCCAGTGATTCACTGATTCAGCTTTTGTTTAACAGTTAATGGACTTTTCTGATTGTATTTAAATTCAACTTTGATTCCACTTTTCATGATGATAAAGGCGAGAGTAAAATACAGAAATATGAAATTCTTATTTTTATCTCTTCAATGGAAGTAAAGTTTTCTCGATAAATTGATGATCCAATGATGACTTATCTTCATCTTTTTTCCTCATCAACTAAGATCATTTCATGAAATGGATTTTATTTTCACTTTTGTTTCACCTTTTCATGCTTTTAAAGATGGAAAAGTATATTTCAAAAATTAAACTTTCATCACCAATTGGAAGGTAAATTGATGTACTTTTTCAATATTTCATTTTTGAATCGCTGTTTGAATCTGTTTGAAGTAAAATTCATTTCCAAGATTTAAATTGATAGATTCAAATGTTCAACTTTGACACCTTAAAGTTGTTTTTTTTATTAAACATGAAAAGTGTAAATATAAGCTTTGCCTTTGTTGTTTAACATTAAATAGATTTGATTGTTTGTCAATTGTTTGCTGTCTTTTGTTTTCAATTGAAATAAGCTTTTCCATTGTATTTTACATTGGCTCGTTCCCAATTGTTTCATGGTTAACAATCGCAATCATTTGTTATCAACATCAATTTCCTACTTCAAAGTTCAACTCGAACCTCATTTTAGATTCATCGAGTTTAATGCTAAAAGATTGATTGAAATTTTCTTGTCAGTTTGTCATAAGAAGTTCAATTTTTGAACCAGTAACGACAAAATGTATTATCAGGTTGAAATGGTTAATCAGGTTTAATGGCATTGAATTTTACGTTGAATTTTGCTATTTAATTTACTCGGTGAAAGTGTGCAATAAGTGTCAACCTATTGACTGGTAAATGGTGATTGAAAAGCTATTAAAGCTCTGTAAATGAGACAACTAATAATCAGCTATTTCTATTAATTGTCAACTCGAAACTGTGTGATTAATGATCAACATTGTACTTATATTAGTTCTTGTTATTTGATTCCTCTTTTAGGCAAGATCATTGGACCTTAAAGGTTTCTATGGTTCATCTAATCCATGGATATGTGATTGTAAATTGGCCTGGCTTCGAGATTGGTCCAAACAATTGATGAAGGAATCGTTTGAATTGATGGTTGAATCTCATTCATTAATACCTGATCACAATCACAATGACAGTTTGGTTGCCATTGAAGACAGATATCATCAAGTAATGTCAATGTTGGCTGATTTAAGGTCAACCCAATGTGCTAATTTGGGTAAATCAATGTTAAAAGCTTTCACAGAGGAACTCAGAGGTTGCCGCAGAGGACGAAGTTTATCAATTAATTTAAAATCATCTTATGCTCAAATTTATTTAACCATTGTAATCAATTATGCTCTCTCCTCACTATTATCAACAGTGTTAACTAAGTGAAATTAATAAATTATCAAATGAACCAACAAAACCATCAAATGGATAGGAAACAAGGAAAAACCCAAAAGCAATGGAATACAAGAAAATTGAAACAAATTCAAATCGTAACAGTTTAAAATTAGTGATTAAATGCAAACTCAATTGGACTCAATGGGACTCAATATGATATTTAACAATAGAGATTCAAAGGTTGGAAATATTGGCAAATCAAATCTAATTTTAATCTTCACATTCATTGTCAATTTTGACCTGAACTGGAATCACCCAAATCAACTTTTCACATTCACAATAATTATACATTCAAAAACTCACCTTGGACCTGGCTTTCAATTTACCCAAATATTTGCTCTAATATAATAATTGCCAATTTTAATCTCAATGGCCTAAGGTCATCATCATCTTCAACTTGTCACTGCCTCAATATAAATTATCAAGCGTTAGGTACAATAATGTTCAATTGTTTCTTTTAAAATTACAATTCTAGTTCATTTTCGTTTTATTTATTTCATTCTGTCTTTTCTCAACTCTTTACTTTTCATTGATTCCGTCCATGCAACAAATATAAAATTATAAATCAGTGATTTAATGGAGCCCATTTCAATGTACTGTTGACAATTTGAACATTGATAAATGTTATAAAATTGCTAAACTGTAAGAAATAAAAGAAGCTTGAATCAATTTGTTTTTGCTTTAACTAGTAAATTATTATTAATTAGCATATAATTACTGAAAGAAGTAAGAAAATTTATCGAATTTTATCGAAGTCAGCAGAGAATTAGAGAAATTTTTCAACTACATGAATGGTTTCAGTTCTTATGTCACTAAATGAGCGTCAGGTTGCAACTCTTTACTCAAAAGCCAAAGTTTTGAACTTATAAATCAACAATAAACCATAATGTAATGAAACTAAACAAATAATTTGCTTCCCAATTCTTCTGAATATGGATCGTTTTTGCAATCACCCTGAATAGATCTTCTCAATAAACTTAGTTTCTAAAAATCTCAAGTATTTTTAATTGCTGTAGTCCAATTATGTCATCGTTCCGTAGCAAGTTTCTTTGCCACAATTTTGGCGTAAAAATGACTAATCAGGAAAGTTTTTTCATTGATTAAGTTACAATAAATCGACTTCTCAATGCAAACCCATCGTCAGAATAAGAAATACAAAAATTGATATTTTTAGCTTTTGTAACATTTTTATTATTCATTTTGTAATGAATAAAGCCTTTCTCCAAGAGCACTCAAGAAATTTCACTTCGAGTTGAGATTTGCTCCTTTTTTGGTTGTAGGGCGTAAACTGATTCCGTCTGTTCAATTAAAAAGTTTCTCTGGTGAGCATTCGTTGAAAATATTACTGTAACCTTCAGACACCTTCTTCACCTTTATACAGTTATGGTGTTAATAATTCTAAACACTTTTACTTATTGTTAAGTAATTATCAGTATGCACAGTGTACGCATATTAATAACTGGAATTATTGGACTGAGTTTAAAAGACTTGGGCATCAGTAGTTCGCAATGAAAATGGAATCGTTTAAACACCTTTCGTTGTTGCTAAAAGGTAAATATATCGAGCTGTTATTTACTCTTTCAATGGAATCTATTATTCATTATAAACCTTAAAATTAAGATACTTTGACATTAAAATCGTTTTACTTTAAGTACATCATTTCTTACACGACACATCAAAATAAATAACATTATCATCACCTGAATTGTATTAATGTCCAAATTTTTTATATAATTATAATTGTCATCAAATTGAAAAAGCAATTGATTAATTAATGAGATGCACAATGTGTGTAAATGTCACACCACTTATACCGATATTGATACTATGGCTATTAGTGATTAGATAAATAGTCAAGTGAATACATTGACATTTAAACTCATTCTAAATGAATTAATTTAACCTCTTTTTTAATTGTTTTAAAGAAACCTGAATATACTTCAAGATGTATAAAAGGAATGAATTCTGTAACTGAAAATCACTTTCAAAAAACTGTTTCTTTCGTTAACATTGTTCGATATAATTTCTAGTTTCTTGCCATCATTATAAGTTCATAAAATGAATTTCCCTACTTTTTCAACAATTCTTCTTGCCTTCATCATGATCGCCTCGGTCATGGATTTCATTCACACCCAGGACCCAGATCGTGATTACGATTATCAGGACGATTATCTCAAGAAATTGTACGATGAAAAAGTACGATTGTGATTCATTTCGCATAGTATCACGTCAAGGTAACTTTTGCGCCATATTGATGTCATACTGCAACTCAAAGTCAAATCCTTAAGCTTTTAGTTAATGTAACTTGTTAAAAATAAATATACTAACTAAACTTATGTATCTTTATTGTCGTTATTCTGAATTCAACTATCCTGAAATAAAAGCAAATTAATTCTTTACTGAAACAAAATGATAATTTTCTCAATGATTATCTACATTCACCGCTTTCTGTCTTACAACCTGTGATTTTCACATGTCACATTTTCACAATCCATGACCGAGGCGATCATGATGAAGGCAAGAAGAATTGTTGAAAAAGTAGGGAAATTCATTTTATGAACTTATAATGATGGCAAGAAACTAGAAATTATATCGAACAATGTTAACGAAAGAAACAGTTTTTTGAAAGTGATTTTCAGTTACAGAATTCATTCCTTTTATACATCTTGAAGTATATTCAGGTTTCTTTAAAACAATTAAAAAAGAGGTTAAATTAATTCATTTAGAATGAGTTTAAATGTCAATGTATTCACTTGACTATTTATCTAATTACTAATAGCCATAGTATCAATATCGGTATAAGTGGTGTGACATTTACACACATTGTGCATCTCATTAATTAATCAATTGCTTTTTCAATTTGATGACAATTATAATTATATAAAGGATTTGGACATTAATCCAATTCAGGTGATTATAATGTTATTTATTTTGATGTGTCGTGTAAGAAATGATGTAAAACGATTTTAATGTCAAAGTATCTTGATTTTAAGGTTTATAATGAATAATAGATTCCATTGAAAGAGTAAATAACAGCTCGGGATATTCACCTTTTAGCAAACATCGAAAAGTGGTTAAACGAATCCATTTTCATCAAGATTGCGAACCACTGATGTCAAAGTCCTTTTCAACTCAGTCCAGTTCTTAATATGCGTACTACAGCATACACTGTTTAAACTGATAATTACTTAACAATAATTAACATTGTTTAGAATTATTAACTCCATAACTATATAAAGGTGAAGGTGTCTGAAGGTTTTTCAAATTTTCTCATTTTATTTCTGATTTCCTGAAAATAAATTTTTCCGATTACATGTACCTTTTTATAAATGTATTTGAAAGATTCTGGTCATTGTGGATTCTAAACGCTTTGATTTTTTTGTGACTTTGATCACATGTCAGGTTGCTGGTATTTCATCCCATTCATTTGAGGTCACTTTCCGCTTGACCCCTATATCTACTTGGTAAAGTCCAAAACGGCCAAAGTCAGAAAAGCCAAATACAAAGCTGCTTAGATCATATCAATTCAAATTGCAAACAAGTTCCAACACAACAGTTCCATCAAAAATATCAATAAGTTCTGAGAACTTCAAATTGCCACTTCATATGGTACATATTGATATGCTAATTTAAATTAAATAATTTACCAGATCTAGATTATTATCAATGCAGTTCAAAATTATACAATGAAATTCAATGTGAAAATCGTTGTCCACCAAATGTATTTAGCGACGGATGGTAGCTTAACGTAAGTTAGATTAAAAGATTTTGCGAATGAGGTGCGGAGCAGAGGAATTTATATTTGATTGTTGTGGTGATAAAATTAGTTGAATGAAAAAAACATGTTGAATAAAATCTATGCGTTAAATGAAAATTCAAATTTGGACCAGCATTTAAAGGAATTTATTATAATAATATTATTTACCGATAATAGTTACCAATTCAGAGTCTATTCATAAAATCGAGCTTTTTCATTTTCAATATGATTCGGTTGGTTATTTGCTTTTTAACAATTTTTTTCATTGATTAATGTTAATAAATTGCTAAACTGTAAGAAATAAATTGAAGCTTAATTCAAGTTGTTTCTGCTTTCACTATCAACAATTATTCAACATTTACTTGGGCAACCGCAACTTGCAGGTTAAATGTGTTTATTGAATGTTTATCACTTACAATAGTTCACTAAATTGCTGTCAATAATTTAAAGTTCAAATATTGATGAGTTTTGTCGGTTGACACTTTTAAAGCTTTCATTTTTTCCACCATTTAAATGACATCTTTTGGATTAACTTGTCTGTTTTGGGTCAATCCATGGTTAGTTGATTTTTCGGTGCTTTTGATTGATTTTTTGTTATGCAAAACGCTCTGACAATCAATAATTTTCTTAAACTAGAAGCTAGTTTAAATCTTCAACTAAAATGGATGACAAGAAGAAGGTAAAAAGAAGAGAGATTTTGAGTTAAAAATAGTTGAAAATTTGCCAACTAAAAGCCATTTTACATTAGATGACAAATATAACTAGAGGTTAGGCTTTTAAGTGTCCTTTTTGTCTTTTATCCTATCTGATTGCTTCCAATTGTGTGATTATTAAGTGAAATAAATCAATAAATCTACATAAATTGACCCATTCCAATTGGTAGTGTTGCTCCATTAGTTAACTGTTGGACAGAAAGAAAGTGAATCAACAATTGAATGGCTTACAAAGCATTTCCAACTGGATCAGGACTAAATTCAGGTAAAACCAATGTTTACAATGACATCTCTGTTCAAGTTAAGGATTACATTAATGGTAAGTTAACAACAGAGATTGAGGGTCCATCTCGTGTCACTATTAAGTATATTGATAATCATGATGGGACAATCAAAGTATCTTATAAGCCAACGATTCCTGGTGATTATACAATTGTCCTTAAATTGGATACATTTCATCTTCCTGGAAGCCCTTTTAGAGTTAAAGTTAAAGGACTTGGACCCATTTCATTGGCACGGCATGGTGAATCTCATATACGATCATCAAGTTCATTGAGACCAGCAACTTTCAGTACTTCAGCTGACTTTATGTGGATTAGCCGGCCAACGACTGGAGTTAAATTATCCATTGATGGAGCTAATGCCAATTTACCAGATTATCTGGGTAGAACTCCTATAGAATCAGCTCGTTTCACAATTTGATTTATTATCAATATTTCATTTCTGAAGCATTTGTATAATTTAATTCAATTGTTGAGGCTTCCTTTCCAATTGAGAATGTTTCACAAAAATAAAATCGTTTTGTCTTTAACTTCTTTAACCAAAACTGATTTAACTATAAATCCATGGATATATTTAATATTTAACCGGATTGTATGATTAAATTTCTCCATATTTATCCTCCTTAGTTGAATTCTTTGGTTTCTCCTTAAATTTAAGGCTTAATAGGATGGATTAGATAGACCCAGTGAGTTGGTCTTTCAGTCTCTCTCATTTGAGTTCATTACTATAGTTGAGTTGTAAGGTTGATCAGATTGATTAAAATTTGTTGCTAGCCACGTAAACACAAGGCAAAATGGTCACAAGAGTTCACTCATTAATCTAAGCCAACTTATTGGATGAATTATTTTTGCTAAATCCAGTCATATCAAGAAAGCTCGACCAAGGTTAAATATTCATGTTGGTAATGATTTTTCTTTACGTCAGAGTCAAAATGGCTGAAAAAATCATATTTGCTTTGGAAATGTAATCAACACGAGCCGTAACAGATTGACAGTTTGACTGGGAGGTAGATTGACTAATGGGAGAATCTTATTCTTATTACTTTCTGGATCTAATGTTCCAACTTGTCAGCAAATCACTCGAGTTGTCCGGGTAAATGATTCAAATCGGTGAATCAAAGCGAGAGCACACGTATGAAAATCAAGGATTCAGAGATTTGTATTTGAAAGTGTTGCCACTTTAGTTTATTATCTCCATAAGAACTTAGATGGTTAGCAAGATCACGTAACTTTAAGAGGGTACTGATAGTTTGAGAGTAAATAAGTATCAAGAGTTAAGAATAAAGGTTTATCTGTAAATAAGAAATTTGATAAATCATTCTTCCAATCCGTCTTGTCCTTTGTTCCATTTCATAAAGAGGCATTTAAATCAACCTGCTTGGCCAGCGAGTCCCTTTTTTTCCATAGATTTTAGCTGCTTGAGTCGCATCATTTCAGCATCTCTGAAAAATAAAAATTAGAGGACAAATGGGATGAAAAATGATCCAAATAGAAAATAAATAATCAATAACTAGAATAAAATTATCAACCCACCTGAATTTCCTTTCCTCTAGACTAAGCCCTTTGTTTCCGTCCTTGGCATTTGCCCCAGAATTCTTTTTCAATTCTGCTTGCTTTTTAAGATTCTTTTGACGAGCTAATTCTCGCTGGTTACCACCTAGATTTCATATTACAGAAATGAGGCCAAGGAAGAAAAAAAGAAATGTAGTTAAAAGCCTAAAATCAAATCAAAATCATAATTTTTTCATAATTTGATGGAAATGATCACTTGGAAACGCAGATAATTAACAATTAAAATACTTACGCGCCATTTTTCAGGCCGGGCTGAAGAGTCAAACTAATCACAGACAAAAACAAAGATACGTGTTAACAATAAAATTAACAATGAATAAACCAAAACCAAAACAAAGCTTAAGCTTTAAAATAAGGCCCTGTCGCCATCTAGTGACTCAAACAGAAAAATAACAACTTGAAAAAACTCGGGAGTTTTTGGGAATTTATAATCTTTTCAAGATGACGGAAATACTTGGACGGGTTTTTGGACTGATACTATTTTCGGTGGTGTGTTAATATAACTAACAGGATATACAGTATTTGGTCGATGATAAATTCCTAATGAGAAGTGTTTGTTCCATTGATTTTTTGACTATTTGATTCAAAAAGCCACAATTGTTACATTTATACACAAATTGACACAAATGGGCGAAAACGGGTATAAATTAATTTCTTCCAGATTAAGATACTTTCGGTTTGTTTCAACATGCAACTGATTCTATTCGCGCAATTTAAATATTTCTCTGACCCGGAGTTCTCGAGGAAATCGAGGTCAAAGTTAAAACTTCAATCGCCTTTTGTGCAGCTATGAAAGCAGATTTTTTCGTCAAGATCATTTCAAAGATGTAACTTTTAATGGGAAATCAGAAGATGGGCATATTTTGAGAATAAAAAGTTTCTCTTTTCAGTAAAACAGATCAGTTCGATTTTAGGTTAAACTGACCGCATTCTTTGACAGAAAGAGTTAGAAGAGTGAAACTTATTATTTTAATATAAAAGTTGTTGGTATACATCAGTGAACCAACACTTTTTACAACATTAATCGACAGTTCGCTTGACTTTGGCCATTTCTCTAAAAACTTTGAGTCACAATATTTCGAGAATGATATTACCTAAAATCACTATTCTTTGCCTAATCAATAGCTTTTATTATGGACTAAAACACCATGAAATTTTAGATCAGTGAAGATGCTGCAGAAAAATTTATAGCATTTATTACATATGTTACCAGATTTTATGCTTCATTTATTGGTAAATGGTTATTAAACACAAATCTTATGTTGTGTTAGTCTGCTTTGTAACTTTTTACATAATTGAAATGTTTAAAAGATCATTGACTGAAACTTTAACTTTCGAGTTGAGAGTTGAGCTATGGTGTGTTTGCAGCAACAAAAACTGTGTCCACCAATGCTATAAATCAACTTTTCCGATCAACAGTTCTCAAGAAAAATCAGTAAATCAGATCATTTCGATTTTAGGTTAAACTGGTCGCATTCTGTGAACACAAAAGTTAGAAGACCTAAACTCATTATTTAACAATAAATATTGTTTTTACACATCAGCGATTGAATTTTTTTTCAATTCATTGTTAGTTCTCTTCATTTTTGGACATTGGCCTTTCAACTTTAAGTCTCGATATTTCGAGAATGGTAGCACTCACAATCACCATTCTTCGACTATTCACTAGATTTTATCATGCTTTATAACAACAAATGACTGAATATCAAAGAAAATCCAAACTAATTATTTTATAATGAGTATTGTTTTTATACATAATAAGTTACAATTTGCCTTTATGAATCAAGAACCCAATCTGACAGCATGAGCTATGATGCTATAACTTTTTTTATTTAGGCTTGAATAGTCTAATATTTTAATAAATTATAGCACCTAATAAAATCTAAAGATTAGTCGAAGAGTCATGCTTTTAGGTACTATCATTCGCGAAATATTGAGACTCGAATTTTTTAAAAAAATGGCCGGAATCAAGAGAACTGTTGGCAAATGGAAGAAAGTATTGGTTCACTGATGTAACCCAACAACTTTTATATTCAAATAACATCTTTCAATTAATTCTAATGAAAAAATCTGCTTGTATAGCTGAACAAAAGGCAGTTTGAGTCCAACTGCAATGAATAAATGTTTTGATGGAACGATACCAAGCAATGAACAACTGGCACAATTTTGCTCTGAGCAAAACAAAAATGGCCGGAAAACAAACTCGTAGTTCATATGCTATTTTTCACGTCAAGGTGACTATTGTCAGACTTTGAAAAAAATACACTGTAGTATTAAGAACTGGACTGCGATCGGAAAGATTTCGCAGCAGAAAATGACGATCTTGATGAAAATGGATTCATTGAACCACTTTTCGGATGTTTGCGAAAAGGTGAGTGTATCGAGCTGTTATTTTCAATGTAATCTATTACTCATCATAAACCTTAAACTTTAGATACGTTGACATTAAAATCGTTTTACATCATTTCTCGCATTGAATAAATAACATTATAAGCTTCTGGATTGAATTCAGTGTCTGTACCCTTTATGTATTTACATTAGATTTGTCATCAATCAAAAAGTAATTGATCATTAGATCCACAAAAGTGGTGTGAAAATGTCACACCACTTATACCGATATTGATACTATGGCTATTAGTAATTAGATAAATAGCGAAGTGAATACATTGACATTTAAACTCATTCTAAATGAATTAATTTAACCTCTTCTTTAATTGTTTTAAAGAAACCTGAATATACTTCAGGATGTATAAAAAGAATGAATTCTGTAACTGAAAATTACTGTCACAAATAGTTTCTTGTTATCATTATAAGTTTATAAAATGAATTTCCCTTCTTCTGCAGCAATACTTCTTGTTTTGATTATGATTTCCTCGGTCATGGATTTCATTCACACTCAGGATTCAGATTTTGACTTTCAAAGGTTTTGCTTTGTTCAGGCGTCTTGGCTCAACCCAGTAGCAATGTGTCCTGACCATACAGAAGTGACTGATAAACAACTTGAAGATTATTGTGAAGAGCTAAACAAAAGTCCAATGTCCAAAAAGTACGATTGTAGTCCATTTCCAATTAGTTCACGTACCGGTGACTTTTGCGCCTTATTGGAGCAATACTGCAAATCACATGAAAATCTTGAAGTTAATTAGTTAATGGAACTTTGCAACAGCTAACTTTATCAGATATCCATACTTACATTATGTATATCATTTTTTTCATTATTCTGAATTTAAATTTCCTCAAATAAAATCATTTTAATCTGCAATGAATGTAAATAATGATTGCGTCAATGTGTTTCTTCATTCACCGTTTTCTGTCTTACATTTCTGTGATTTTCTCAGAGGAATTGGAAATTTAGTTTTTAATAAAAAATCGACCGGATCTAGATTGGAATCAATACAATAACAAGCATAATCAGAGACACCTCGAACCAGTCTACTTCACGCGTTAAACTTGGAAACAATTGGTTTGAGCAAGATTTGGTTGGAAAGATCGGTGAAAAACTCACTAACTTCGTGTAACTTTGTAAAAATGAATATGATATCTATACTTGTATCATTTTATTTTCATTATTCTGAGTTTAACTAACTATCCTGAAATAAAAGCAGTTTAATTCTGCACTGAAATCAAATAATAATTGTCTCAATGATTCTCTGCATTTACCTTTTCTGTCTTACAATTCTGTGAGTTTCCGTGGAAAACCATAATACAAATTTATTATCCAAAGCTAAATAGAAATTTAGTTTCAAATTAAAAATATATCCGATCCAGATTGATATCAATACAATAACAAGCTAACTCAAAGACACCTTCAACCGATTTGTTTTACGCGTTTATAACCTGTTAGGATAAATTATGGGACTTTTTGGATTTGTATGGTTTAAAGTGGCATAATTTATCCTCACAGGTTATAAGTTTGAAAAACTTGAAAACAATTTTCATACAAAGAGTTTCATACATTCATACATACATTTCGTAGGAACCAATTCATCATCATGGGAAATTGAACATGAACAAATTGTAGGAATCAAGTGGTAAGTCCAGAATATTGTAAATATTGATTTGTATTGAGTAAAAGTTAAGTCTTTTTTTAGACTTAAACTTCACTCTTTAAATGGTTAAAGGACAATATTTTTAATTTTCATTGACAGTAAGCTTGTTTATTTGAATTCATTACAATTGTCTCATTAACCATGTATTTACCATAACAATTAAAACTATGTAGTATGAATAATTAAGGATAATTGAACGTCGTAAATACAATGACTATATTAACAAATGGTTGCGGAACAAATTAACAAACTTTTTCCAATTCATGGACGGCTCTCTTGATTTTGGCCATTTCTCTGAAAACTTCGAGTCACAATATTTCGAGAATAATGACACTGACAATCACCATTCTTTGCCTAATCATTAGGCTTTAGTATGGACTAAAATACGATGAAATTTTAGAGCATGAAAGACTCTACAGAAAAAGCTATAGCATTTAGCAATTATGTTACCAGATTTTGTGCTTCATTTATGGGTAAAATGGTTATTAAACACAAATCTTATGATTTGTTAGTCAAATAGTCTGTTTTTCAACTTTTTACATACGTAAATGAAATGTTTAAAAGATCATTGACAGAATTTTTGGCTTTCGAGTTGAGAGTTGAAGTATGGCGTGTTTTCAGGAACAAAACCTCAGTCGATTAATGCTATGAATTAACTTCTCCGGTGAATAGTTCTCGAGAAAATCGAGATTAAACTTTAAACTTCGGTCGGCTTTTATTCAATTGTGGAAACAGATTTATGCATGAAACTTAATTGCCTGATGTAACTGTTGATCAGAAACACGAAAATGCACTTATTTTAATCTAAAAACTTTCTATTTCAGCATAACAGACCAATTCGATTTTCGATTCAAACTGGCCGTTCTCAGTGAACATAAAAGTTACAGAATCGAAACTTATTATTTAACAATAAATATTGTTTTTACACATCAGCGATTGAATTTTTTTTCAATTCATTGTTAGTTCTCTTCATTTTTGGACATTGGCCTTTCAACTTTAAGTCTCGATATTTCGAGAATGGTAGCACTCACAATCACCATTCTTCGACTATTCACTAGATTTTATCATGCTTTATAACAACAAATGACTGAATATCAAAGAAAATCTAAACTAATTATTTTATAATGAGTATTGTTTTTATACATAATAAGTTACAATTTGCCTTTATGAATCAAGAACCCAATCTGACAGCATGAGCTATGATGCTATAACTTTTTTTATTTAGGCTTGAATAGTCTGATATTTTAATAAATTATAGCACCTAATAAAATCTAAAGATTAGTCGAAGAGTCATGCTTTTAGGTACTATCATTCGCGAAATATTGAGACTCGAATTTTTTAAAAAAATGGCCGGAATCAAGAGAACTTTTGGCAAATTGAAGAAAGTATTGGTTCACTGATGTAACCCAACAACTTTTATATTCAAATAATAAGTTTCAGTCTTCTAAATTTTATGTTCCCTGAGAACGGCCAATTTGAATCGAAAATCAAATTGATCTGTTATACAAAGACAGAAAGTTTTTTAGCTTAAAATAAGTGCATTTTCCTGTTTCTGATCACCAGTTACATCAGGCAATTAAGTTTTATGCATAAATCTGTTTCCACAATTGAATAAAAGCCGATCGAAGTTTCAACTTTGACCTCGATTTTCTCGAGAACTGGTGATCGGAGAATTTCATCCATAGCATAAAAAGACTCAGTTTTCGTTCCTACAAACACGTCGTATCTAAACTCTCGACTGGAAAGTTAAAGTTTCTGTCAATGATCTTTTAATTATTTCATTTGTGTGAAAAGTTACAAAGCAGATTAAAACATCATAAGGTTTGTTTTAATAACCATTTCACCCATAAATGAAGCATAAAATCTGGTAACATAAGTAATAAATGCTATAACTTTTTCTTTAGAATCTTTGATGCTCTCAAATTCCATCGTATTTTAGCCCATACTAAAGCTCAATGATTAGGAAAAGAATGCGGATTTTACGTACTATTATTCTCGAAATATTGAGACTCAAAGTTTTTAAAAAATTGGCCAAAATCAAGAGAACTGTTGCCAAATTGAAGTATTGGTTCACTGATGTATACCAGCAACTTTTATATTCAAATAATAAGTTTTAGTTCCTCTAACTATTTCTGTCACAGAATGCGGTCAATTTAACCTAAAATTGAACTGATCTGTTTTACTTAAAATAGAAAGTTTTTATTCTTTAAATATGCCCATCTTCTGATTTCCCATTAAAAGTTACATCTTTCCATTGATTCTAATGAAAAAATCTGCTTCCATAGCTGAACAAAAGGCAGTGTGAGTCCCACTGCAATGAATAAATGTTTTGATGAAACGATACCAAGCAATGAACAAATGGCACAATTTTGCTCTAAGCAAAACAAATTTGTAGTACATATGCTATTTTTTCACGTAAAGGTGACTATTGCCAGACTTTGAAAAAAATACACCGGGTATTAAGAACTGGACTGAGATCGAAAGATTTCGCAGCAGAAAATGACGATCTTGATGAAAATGGATTCATTGAACCACTTTTCGGATGTTTGCGAAAAGGTGAGTGTATCGAGCTGTTATTTTCAATGTAATCTATTACTCATCATAAACCTTAAACTTTAGATACGTTGACATTAAAATCGTTTTACATCATTTCTCGCATTGAATAAATAACATTATAAGCTTCTGGATTGAATTCAGTGTCTGTACCCTTTATGTATTTACATTAGATTTGTCATCAATCAAAAAGTAATTGATCATTAGATCCACAAAAGTGGTGTGAAAATGTCACACCACTTATACCGATATTGATACTATGGCTATTAGTAATTAGATAAATAGTGAAGTGAATACATTGACATTTAAACTCATTCTAAATGAATTAGTTCAACCTCTTTTTTAATTGTTTTAAAGAAACCTGAATATACTTCAGGATGTATAAAAGGAATGAATTCAGTGAATTCTTAAAATTACTTCCACACAGTTTCTTTCGTTAACACTGTTCGATATAACTTCTAGTTTCTTGCTATTGTTTTAACTTTATAAAATGAATTTCACTTCTTCTGCAGCCATTCTTTTTGTTTTCATCATGATTTTCTCGGTCCTGGATTTCATTCACACTCAGTATTCAGATTCTGACATCCAAAGGGTTTGCCATATACAGGCGGTTACGCTCAAATCAGTAGCAATGTGTCCTGACTATACAAAAGTGACTAATAAACAACTTGAAGATTATTGTGAAGAGCTAAACAAAAATCCAATGTCCAAAAAGTACGATTGCAGTCCATTTCCAATAAGTGTACGTAGCGGTGACTTTTGCGCCTTATTGAAGCAATACTGCAAATCACATTCAGATCCTGAAGTTGATTAGTTAATGTAACTTTGCAAAAATAAATGAGATATCCATACATTATTTATATCATTTTATTTTCATTATTCTGAATTTAAATATCCTGAAATAAAATCATTGTAATTCTGCAATTAATGTATTATAAATAATAATTGTCTCAATGATTTTCTTCATTTACCGTTTTCTGTCTTACATTTCTGTGATTTTCTCAGAGAAAACCAAAGATATTATCCAAAACTAATTGGAAATTTAGTTTTTAATTAAAAAATAGATCGGATCCTGATTAGTATCAATACAATAACAAGCTAACTCAGAGACACCTTTGACCAGTTTGTTTTAAGCGTTTATATAAGTTTGAAAAACTTGAAAATAATTGCAAATGAATATTGATCAAAGAACAGTTTAACAGTTTTCATTGGAATCAATTCATCTTCATGAGATATTGAATATGAATAAAGTTAAAACTAATAAAGACTTAGGATTCAAGGGGAAAGTCCAGAATATTGTAAATATTGATTAGTATTGAGTAAAAGTTAAGTCTTTTTTGAGACTTTAAACTTCACTCTTTAAAATGGTTAAAGGACAATATTTTTAATTTTCATTGACAGTAAGCTTGTTTATTTGAATTCATTACAATTGTCTCATTAACCATGTATTTACCATAACAATTAAAACTATGTAGTATGAATAATTAAGGATATTTAACGTCATAAATACAATGACTATATTAACAAATGGTTGCCAATGAATTAAAGGAATTAACAATTCCTAAACAATGTTACACTTTTCATCGGTTTTCATAAATAATCATTTACAATCAAGGCTATTAACATGTAAACAATTAAATCAAGGCAGGATGATTTAGCATGAACACACTGTTTTAGTCGACTCTATTTTAATGTCTTCTCATTGATTTGATTTATTTTCAAAATCAAACAAAACCGTCAATCAATTTTGTCGTCTTTCCTATTTGTGATGCCATCTTTTGTCTTCTTTTTAACTGTTCATTGTTACGCTCGCTTTTATTTTCATCTTTGTTTTGTTCTCCTTCTTGTCCATAGTTTTGTCTTTAATTATAATAATATCATCATAATGACAATTGCGGTGATGATTCAGCTCGTGTTAATTAGTCAATGTAACTGGTTGCTTCCATTGTCAATACTCGGCCAGCCACCATGATGGTGACAACTCATCTCAGCAACTATTTGGTGATTCTTGGGATTTTAATTAACCCAATCTATAGTTTTTATCCAACTTATAATCTTGATCTTGAACCAAATGAATCAATCGAAGTATCTCCAACTGAATTAAATCAGCTACCAGCTAATCCCAATGGATATAAATCAATATATATAGAAGTAAGTTATTTTAATTTAAACTTTCGCTTTTCGTCTTTTTCGTCTAATTAGATTATCTTTAAAGTCTGAAAAAACAGATAAAAACGCTTTCATTGACATTCTTATGGAAAATATTCAAGCCGATTCAAACTCTTGTCCGTTGGGTATTTTTCATATTGACCAGAATAATACAATTTCTGAGTAAGTATATTAGATTATTTGCATTTTTTGTTTAATTGTCACTGGAAATGTTCATTAACCTGTCTTTTATTTTTTGTCACTGAATCAGGTATGACGAGCAACAAGAAAGAATATGGATTTTTGTTCCTTCTTATGATTTTAATTTGACACTTTGCTCAGATGCTATTCATAATAATTCAAATTTAATTGTTAAACGTTTTGAGACAACTTGTTTCAAAAGATTCACCAAGACAGATATCAACACATTTTCAACATGGATTCCTGCTTGGAATGGAACTGAACCTTTCAGGTGTATTTGGTTCGTTGAGAATCCTGACAAATCTCAGGTTGATGTCAATTTTTCGTTTCGTTATCGTAAAAAAGATCAACCAATAGGACATGAGTTGGATTTCCTGGTTGCAATCGAATCTAATGATCGTCGAATCGTTCCGACAATTGTAAATCAAACTTCTATGAGACAAATGTCTATGGACAGTCAATTGATTGCTATGGAGTATATCGCTCTTCAGCCCGTTGGGAAACAACTTAAATTGCAAATCGATAGGAAAACATGGACTCCACAATACATTTCAACCGGTAGCAATAAACCATCATCTTACCAAGCTAACACTCAGTGCTGTAAGTAGCATTTATTTGACATTCATTCCAAGCAACTATTAATATCAACAATTTCTAACAGATTGCGGTACAGAGAATATTGATCAAAGAATCGTTGGTGGTCACGAAGTAAATCCGAAGCATCGTTATCCATGGATGGTAGCTTTTCTAAAACTTAATGGTGAACCTTTCTGTGGTGGAACTGTGATAACAAATCAATATATTTTAACAGCAGCTCATTGTTTCGACAATTCATCTAGTCCAGCTTACAATCCAAGAACAGTTAAACTGGCTATTGGCGCTCACGATCTAACTGTAGACAGAACTTATTATCGGATTCGTTCAATCAAAATGCACGAAAATTATAAGAAAACTGGCTCAGCGTTGTATAATGACATTGCGTTAGTAAAAATTGACGGAAACTTGACATTTGACCAGTTTACTGTTGCTCCGATCTGTTTGCCATCGCCAGAAATGGTTGTGTTTAACAATTTAACTGTCGCTGGTTGGGGCTTTACTAATGAGGATGGTGCTCCTAGTAAGGTACTGAGAGATGTTACCCTTCCTTATGTAACCAATCGAGAGTGTCAAGAGTTTCACGGAGAAGTAATTACTTCAAGTATGATGTGTGCCGGAGGTAATCAAGACGAAGATTCATGTCAAGGAGACTCAGGATCACCATTAATGTTTAGACGAGATGGGGCTCTTTATGCTGTTGGTTTGGTGTCATTTGGCCTTGGTTGTGGTCGACCCTTCTATTATGGCGTTTACACTCGAACCTCTAGGTATTTGAAATGGATTCAAGATAATACCATTGGATCAAAAAGCTGTCCTGTGTATATTGATAAACCATCAACTTCTTCAACACCAATGCCATCAAGTCAATCAACACCGCGACCAACAAGCCCAGGGACAAACATTAAAAATGGAATAAATTCTAAGCCAATTTATCCTAACTTGGAAAACTGTGGTATAATGAACATCAAAAACACTAGAGTAATTGGAGGAAAAGAAACCAATTCCAATGAATATCCTTGGATGGTGAGTATAGAGTTAGCATTGCAATTTTTGGTCAATGTTCTAGTCAATCAAATTGATTTGATTCTTTATTTATTTTCCGTGATCAAGGCTGCTTTAGGTTATAGAAAAGACTTCATAGGAGGTGGAGTTGTGGTTGCACCTTATTACATTTTGACTTCAGCTAGAAAAATTAAATCATTGTAAGTTAAAAATTATCTGCGAAAACATAATTTGACCGAATTGATTTAATTTTTTTCTTCCTTTAAACCTTTTTCTTTTAAGGACACGATCATGGGATTTCAATTTAAGTAATCTTACAGTTATTCTTGGAGGTTTTGATTTAACAGCAAAAGAGTCTTCAAAAGAATTATTTAAAGTTTCTAAAATCTCATTTCATCCATTATCTTCCACTGAAAATTACGATTATGATTATGCTCTTCTCAAACTAGCTCCATCAAGAGGTAATCAAAACTCATTCAATTATAGACCAATCTGTTTACCCAGATCATCATTTGAGATTATTGACGGAATAACAACTTTAGCTTTGGGTTGGGGATCAACAGTTGCTGAAGGTAAGTTCACAGAAGTACAAAATTTATTAAATAACAATTATTAAAATTATAAAAAATAGGTTCAACTCCAACAAATAAGCTTCGTCAAGTCAAATTAGATCTTATCACTGCATCAACTTGTCGTTCGTTTTATCAAAATGTGATTACAAATACTATGTTTTGTGCGGCTAAACCTGGTGCTGATGTATGCTTTGTAAGTAGAGATGATTCGCAAGTTGAACTTCTTATAGTCTAAGACTTTTTACATACATTCACTTTTTAGGGTGACGATGGAGGACCACTTATGTACCCCTTTCGTCAAAGGTGGTATTTACTCGGAGTCTTTTCTTGGAAACCATCTGATGTTTGTGCTTTTCCCAGGAAACCCAGCATATTCACGGATGTTCGACACGCTTTACCGTGGATAACTTTTGTAACTGGGGCTGAGACTTTATGATTATTTTATTAAGAACTTTGAGTAAAAGTTGACTCTTTTAGGCCATCAAGTCTTTTCATTGGATTTCACTTAATGTCTAATGGAAATTTAAATAAAATCCATCAATGAGATGAAACCAAAATCTTTTTTGTCTTTTTAGGACTAATTGATAATGCAGTTAAATGAGATACGAAGACAATAGGTCGTGATTGTCATTTAAGATCCAGCTGGGAATTTTAAGAGGGTTCAAACAATCTCTTATTTTACGAAATCGAGGTAAATCTTCATAATATTCAGGTTGATCACGATTAATTCCATTATTTGCACTATTACTAGCTGTTCCATTACCATTAGGATTATCAGCTTGACCATTTATTGTACCGTTGGTGATAGCTGCAGTTGGTTTCCACCAAGATTCAGCTTGCAAAAAAGATTTCTCATTTTCATTTCTTAACAGTTCAACCATCTCACGAATATTTGTCATCAGAGAAAGAGCTATTGCCGCTTCTTTATCTTGAAGCTGGAATGGAAACCTTCTATTTAATATTTCATTGAAGTAAGAATAGATAGCGTTATAATCTATCTCTTCTACATCGACAGTTCCAGAAGTAGCATCTTGCAGATTTTCCTGACCATTTCCACTCTCATTGTTATGATTGTTTTCATCTTGCTCCTCTTGCTCATCTTCTTCATTGTCCTCATTAGTTTCATTATCCTCACCAGCGTCAGTATCCTCATCATCCTCAGGATCTCTAGCGTCTTCTTCCTCTTCCTCATCACCATTTACCTTATCGTAATAGTCATTCATCGTATCTTCAGAAAACTGGGTGAAAATATCCAACAAAACACGAGAGAAATCGTCTTTTTTAGCGGGGAAAGGAACGCAGTTTGAAATAACTGATAACCACTGATTTACATTCTTCATTTCGGTGAATCGATCCAAATAATTTTGTTTGAGACTGAGATCTTTACCTTTTTTCTCATAAGAATCGACCAGAAATCTGTAAAAATGAAACATAGTTAAGATATGGATAAAGTGAAATTGCTAATTATTCAGCTTACTTTACTTGGCCGTCAGATTTAGAAGGAAAATACGACTTCAAAAGCTCAAAATCGTAGAGCACACTAGGTCCATGATCGTCTAAAGCTCTCAGTAAATTTTCTTTATCTTGATATTTATCCTCGGTTTGAGTGTCCTCAATAGTTTTTTTAGCCTTCCTTCTGGTGGTCATGATGTATCTCCGTTCTTATACAGCATACACAGTTCAAAATTAAAAAAAATGGCCAAATTCAACTTGAAATAGGGTTAACGTTAGATGGGGTTAAATAATTTTCAGATTTATAAAAGTGTTGTTGAAAACGGTAAGTCAGGCGAAAGGTCCGTAAAGTCTATTTTCCGAGCAAAGCCACTTACTCTGGTTCAGCGCAAGACTGGTGGCAGCTGCTTTAACTTAACTTATAATTTTAATTTTTAACAATTAACTTGATTTAAAGTCAAATTTAATTCGATTTACATTAAAACAAGCATTTTAAGCACCTTAAACAGCAAAATCAAGTCA